TCTGCCTCTTTAGTCTTGCAGAAAGACGAGATATGGAAATGGGGAAACATTGATTCTGCGTTCTTTCGTAAGCCACATGGAATCACGGTGTCCTCACTGTGTGACTGAATGGCGACTGCAGGCTGCCAATCAATTCCACTCAAACATAAACAGCGCCGCCAGGCAAGCAGCAACCTTTTTCAGTTTGACTGCCGGGTGACAAAGGCTGCACCAGCCGGCCAGTTGCCGGCGCACAGAGAAAGTTGGCGGAAACGCACGAAGCTTGCCGATGTAGGATGCCCACAATGAGGCCGTCGGTCGTCCTCGAAATGCCTCCTGCGTCTTTGATAGCATGCTCTCACGATAGTTCTGATACACGGTGCTGTGTGGTAGCAATGTGACGGTTTAGTAGGTTTCCGTGTCGTCTTGTGGCCATCGAACTCCTGAACGCAGTGGCTGCATCACCCCACGCCGCTGTCACCTCAGTCACGAGATTCAGATCGCTGCAGTGGCGTCCACCGTGGGCAGGTTTTGCTGATGGAGCTACTATCCTGCTGGGTGCTGGGGTATGCAGTAGGCTGGAGACATTCCTGGTTTAGAAGAACCCACCTGTCTCGCGTAAAGGCCAGAGTCAGTGCACAGACGGGGTGGTTTGCGATGAGCAGCCTGGGATTAGCAGCGGTGAGTTAGTTAGTTGGTGGTGCTCAGCTCCGGAGATTTCTTTTGGGGGGATGTAGCCATTCTGCAATATTGGCGGCTTGCTCGGCTGAAGCAGTCTTCAGCGCAGCTGTGCTTGTTCGGGCTCTTCAGACGGCCAAAACGTGGCGCTTGTCAAGTCGAATCCGGGCCTGGGAGAGCATGTCAGCAATCAATGCGAAGCAGCCAGGGCAGCCAGGGCAGCCAGGGCAGGCTCCAATTCTGTGGTAGCGAGGTTCGGAGTTCTGAAGCCAAACAAGGGTCTCGACACCATCCATTGCGACGCTGTGCAGCGCATGCTTGGGTACAGTCCACGTGCGTTGGGTGGCAGACTAGCAGACTAGTAGCAGGCCGGCACTCTAGCCTAGCCTTCTTACCAGGTACAGCAAGTGATGGTCGAATGTGGCGGATCACGGCGGATATGAGGCAGGCTGAGGATGGATGGATGCCTAGAGTAGGCGAGGATGAGGGCATTTCGGCGGCGGCGGCGTCGACAATGCAGTCAAGAAAAGGGGGGGCGTGTGGCTTGATACAGAAAGTGCCGAATTCTTGGAATGTGAGATATGACAGAGTCTAACAAAATGCCCACTGCCCACTGCCCACAGCCAAATTGATCTCCGCGATCTGCTGCTGTCCAGTTATTAGAGTTTGGAGAGGAACGGCCGATCCCGAGAAAAAGCAAGTTGAAGCTCCTTCTGAGTCTGGGCAGTTGCCAGGAGACCAGGACGGCCAGGCCAGGGCAGGCCAGGGCAGGATCCACCCGTTCTCCCCCAGCGGGCAGTCGCAGCCGTGCCCCACCTCAGCAGCCTCTCTGTGTCTCTACCTAGGAGCCTAAAGGGCCTAGGTAGGTACCTCAGGGAGACCTCAGACCCCTCTACCAGGTGCATCTTGCGATTGCAACTCGTGTGTGTCTGGGCCTTGATTCTTCACGATCCATTGTAATGCAAGGCCCAAAGGTACGCTTGGGCTGAGGTTGTCTCTGTCAGAGCATCACCCAAACTATCGTTCCAACACCACCTGCCGTCACATTGCCTTATCTCGCTCGAGCCCGAACTGAAGCAAAGCATCCGACATGCAGCAAGAGGTACAGACGCCTTTTACCACGCAGGCACACGCAACACACACACACACACCCACGTACCCACGCATCACATACTACACACACCACACTACAACATCGTGTACTATCAAGCCAATCCCAGGCGACAGTGCCCACGCCAACAAGAGATTCATCCAATCGGCGGCCGCCGGCAAGCTTGACCCACTCACCCCACCCACTAGAGCAGATGGTTCTGGGGGAGTTTGGGAGCCCGACGGAGAGTGCTGAGTCTAGCTGACGATCATACGGGCCTCCTACTAATACTGCTAACAACAGGCGAGACGAGACGTGCAACCGAACATCCCGCCTCCCAGCAAGCCCCTCCTTGAATGTGTTTCGTTTCGTATCCTCCCGCATGGCCCAACCGGCCGAAGTCACGACCAGCACCGGCCATGACAATTCCAGACGGGTTCATCACATCTCCAGCCCTCAATGTGCACGGATGCGCCACTTATGCCGCCCGGCTTTCCTGCGGCTGATGTACAGACCACGATAGTACATACACCACGCCCGCATCGACAGGCACCAAAATCAAGGCCATCTTCCAGCGCTGGGAGGCACAATGGGGCTAGTCAGGCACATTGCATTGCATGGCTTCCAACGTCTCGCGGCTGCGGCGGCCGTCCAGCGCTCTGCCCACCCCTGATGGATGCAACCACATTTGCTGCGAATGCAACACCGCTGAAGCACGTGCGCCGACAAAAACACAACATAGCAACGCCACGAGTCGAAATAAGTCACTTGCTGTCGAGGTTGGAACCCCAGGGCGGGGAAGATGCTTCAGGTTGGCACCTCGCTGCATTTCGAGGCTGCCAGTCACCTTCTTGTCGTTCTCCCCTGGCTGCACTAAGCACAGCCCGCGAGTCACGACCGCACCTTTGCCAGTCTAAACCGTCTCGTGCAAATTATGAGGCATCCGATTGACGACCTCCGAGACAGCACAGCTTGACGATCACTGCAGGGCTGGAGTGTCATCGCACGTGGGACCTATATCTGTTCGGCCGGAAGAGCGCGCGGAGGTTGGGCAATGCTGTTCCCAGTGCTGCCACGCACCAAGAATCTCACTCTCAACCAATCATAAGCCGCAGCATCTCCACTCAAGTGAAACCAAGTCGAAACGGGATCGGTGGCTGTTGGCCTCTGGTGTGCCTGGCTGCTGTTACCTAATTATTTTGCCCTGGGGCCTCTACTGTGTATACGTGCCGCTCATTATCGTGCACAGTTGCACCGTAAACCTGTTCGCAGTCCAGGAACAGTTGTAGCATCCAATCGGTATGCGGCTCTTTGGTTTGTATCTATAAATTCTTAAGAATCTGGGTAGGCTTGAACCAGCCCGCGAAAGTTACTATGCACGGAGTTGGGTGCGTCCTGAATATGCCCCATAGAGAACATCACCAAAACCCCCTTATTCAAATAGCGCTGCACACACAGACCATGTGTTCGCAAGCCAGCCCGTGGCTTGCCCTTGCAGTAGCGAGGTTGCACACTTAGAAACTTGGTAGGCTAAGCTTACAAAACGCGACAAACAGAATCCTCATATGCTCACAGACTGCGGCATGCTGATCATGGCCCTTAGGCACATTTTCGCCATGTGCGAACGACACTTGTCGCCACCCCGTCCTGTTTTTTTTTCCTGGGCCGATGCAACACCGCGGCGTGCGGGTGACGGCTCCCGCTTGTCCGTCGAATCGCACTTCGACCCACACGGCGAATTTCTCTAGCGCCTGCACCAAACCGTCAATCGCTGGAGCATTTCGCTAGTTGAGATGCGTCTAGGCACCCTCCTGGGTTCCCACGTTGCCATCTGCACATCGATTTAGAGAAGGTCTGCGCAGGACAAGGTCTAGGCTTGTAAATTTATTGTCCGACATCACGTTTCGCGGTACAAGACCACGCGGTGTCACCTCTTGAAACAATTCGCATTGCAATCGACCGACAATGAGATCACTCAACTGGACAACGCTACCGGAATACGGGTCCAGACGCATCTTCCTCAGACCTGTGTACACCGGGAGGAGGCTGACTACTGCAGCCATTGACCAGTCACATCTTTCAGCTTTACAGATTGGTATCCCTGATCGATAACATCAAACTTAATCTAGGGTCCCAGGCGAATGCCCTTTCCTTCGGACTGACATACCGTATGCGGTGAAAACCGCGGACCGACAGAGAAGTCATCAAGTCCGCTATTTGCTTCGCATTTGCTTCGCAAGTGCTGCAGTTTATTTACGACCGGAGAACACTAACAACGAACAGTTGGCGTGCGATCTGCAGTGCATGAGTTTGCACAATGCTGTCGTTTTACGGACTGGGTTGCGAACCAAGCGCATGCCACAATCTCTGTCGCTGCGTGCTTGTCTTCCTCATCCCGACCCCAGGCCGCATCGCTCGTCAGGTCACGCAAAAGACATCGGTGAGTCAGGATGGTAATCGTCTCAATTAGTCATTGGGCGACTTGCTCGACTCGACACGAGTACGCTGGCGGAACAGCCCTGTTACTTGGCATCGAGCAGTTCGTGCGATGTCTGCTTGAAAATCGCCGGCAAGATGATCAGTCCAGACCTCCCAAATACCTTGTGTCTAGTGCCGAATGACTCGACGCCCCAGTTTCGCAGCTCTCGGGGGCGGGCCGAGGACCACAGACTTTTACAACAAAGCTTGAGGTCACTGCCGCTTGAATTCTATGCAACGAATTTCACAATTGTGAAAAAGCGCTATGACTTTGCTGGCTCACAATACACTTTGGCACGCTCTTCCTTGTCAACGACGGCTCAAAGCTCAATTGCCGCGTACTGAAAGCGCTCTGTGAATGAGTCTTTCAGGCTCAACACAGTACTGCCTGGTGGGTCTGGCAGGTCGACCCGAACCTGTGAATCAGGCGTTAGCGGTACTTGGGTGAGGCTCGTAACTGCAGATTCCCGCGAAATCTTGCAGGCCGACACCATTCCGGTTGTGTGTAAGGCGATAGCGCAGCCACAATTGATTGTGTAAGATCTGTGTAATCCATCAGGGTGTTCGCGGTTCCACATGGCATTTGGCCTGACAGGTTTCACAGCAGACGGGTATGCGCTGTTAGACTTGCGCCAAACGCCGTGTACTGACCGTTGACTGAGGCTGAGGATGTAGTACCACCACACAGGCGTCTTGGTCAATCAGCGCTATGGAGCGTCCTCTGGCCAAGGAGAAGACTGAACCCATCCGATGTTACCGGGACCTAACACCCAAAATGGTCCAGGACACTCTTCCTGCATTTGTTAGTCCCGCTCGCAATGAGGCATGCCGATGATTCCACCGGGTATCATCGTCATCAAGGTAAACGGAATATGCCATCGAGGCCTCAAAGTTGAACTGTCAAAATGGTCTTAATAAGGGCTGACTGTAGGTTTGCTGCCCTCATCGTCAAAGAGTGGGGCCGTTTTCGATCCTGGAATGGGGGAGCGACATGGACACCCCCGCTGGACCCGGAGTACACCTTCATTTCGACCAAAAAAAATTCGACTTTTCGGTATGCTTCCCGCTGTCGTTGCGGATTACCGCTTCTCCGATCAACCCGTCTGATATTTGCTTCACCACCTCCGATCCTCGGCTCTCACGACTCGACCGCATGAGAAACGTTCTCTCGGGCCGGCAGGCCGGCTGCCAGAGAAGCCGCGTCCACGGCTGGATGTGTTTACATGTGGACCCCTTCGTGGATCTTGTGGGAAGCTGCAGTCTGCATTCTGCAGCCTTCTGTGGGAAGATGGAGTGCAGGCGGGGCCTTATGCAGGTTCAATCTGTCAGAGACTTCCGGAGGATCATGCAGGCGAGCATCATGAACGATCTAGTTCCTGGACTTAGATTCCCACAGGTCTTTTTTGTGGATTGCCCACAGTACTTTGCAACTGTTGGCCACACACCGCCGGGTCAGTCTGCGTTGCTTCTACATGCTCAAAGAGTGAGGCCCTTCACCGCAAGCGCTGTGCAGACATGGGCAGCGATACCCCGATGACATGCTCTTCACATTCATCTGACAATTGCTTTTCAGGAGGTCGGCATACACGACGCGCGCCTAGCCATAGTGGCCCTCAGGCGAGCTTCTGGGATTGGCGACAGCGGCTTGCAGTCAAGCAGTTTGTGCGCTCAGACGCTGGGTCAACTGATCAACCGCGTCCCTGGATTTTGCTTCAACGTCCAGCCGCGCACGGCCTGCAGATGCTCTAAACTGGACCCTTCTACCCGACGCTGACCGTGCATTTGCGGGTCTCAAAGGCTGGCATCTCTCTTGCGACAAGACATATCTCTATGCCCAGGCGAGGAGGAGCCCGCCGCTGGTGATTTCACTGGATCGACGGCGCTCTGTGTCGCAGCTTCAGGGGCCCAGCAGCGGAAGGGCACCCAGGAAATCTCGCTTGTTTGTGAACATCATGGGAATGTCTCACTGTCCACAGACAGCCTGGACTCATTCTCCGGCAACGCCTTTGCCGAGACTTTGAGGCATCTCATTATCTGGAGTCAGACTGTGTTTGAGTCCTTACGCGTCTCCATGTTGTTCGCCCGATGTCCAACACTCTGATCTTGGCCTCGCTCAGCTGGCATTGCTCGCACGGGCATGGCAAAGTGTGCTGGAAATTCTCTTCAGTTGATGACTGGATGGACAGCCAGACCGTCCAGTGCCGGTCCAGTGCCGGTCCAGAGCACGACTCCATTGCTTCACGGGCTAGGGGTGCAGGCCACCCGCCTGGATCAGTCACATCACAGGGGCTAGGCATCACCTAATTCGTGATACGATGACCCAGGAGCTGGGCGACTTGTGGCGTCCGATGGAGGAGCAGCGCCGGATCTCAGTGGCTAGCTCCAGGGCGTCGAACGCACACTACGAGGACTACTCGCATCGAGGCAAGGCGAATATGTACGCTCGGATGGTGGGGCTGAGGGACGATGCTCCTTGGCGGAATGCGGCACCCCCACGACCCATAGCAGTAAGTGATCGTTCAACTCGATGACCGAGATACGCTACGATGTCTTCGTAGGCAGTGCAAGCCAGTGCTCGTCTGCACTCTAACTTGCATGCACGTTGGCGGTTCATGCAGATCTTCATCCACGTTGAGGATGGGCCTGAACTGCCCCGGAAAAGGTTGCACATGGTGCGCTTGCCCCCGAGCAACCCATCGCCGCCTAGCCTTAGCTGGCTCAGCCCAGATTCATTTCCACCATGGAATGTGACGGATCCTACCTGGATGGTATTTCAAGGGGCCAAGCCAGGGGCATCAGGGACGATCTCAGTGACAGCTGCAGGTGGGTGGCTGTCAATCTTTGATGCAACCGCGACGATGACGGGGAAGGCCGGAAGGACTCGACAATGGCAGGACATAACCTACCGTCGACCCATACCCAGCTTGTGGTCTCTCAGCTGGCCTGATAGTCATTTTACCAATTTCGGGCATTACATTCGAGTTCTGCCTTGATAGGCCATCTCATTCCGTACGGCAAATGAGATGAGCAAAGTTCTTATGCAGGTTACAGCTTATGGGCGACAGCATAGACCGCGTTCGGCACGCATAGGTGTTGGACCCTTGAGCATCACTTGTTTGGAGAGAGCGACTAGCCACGACTAGCGCTCTTTTCTTGGTCGAGGCACGAGTGCGAGCGAGTAAAAGGCCACCAAAACACGAAAGGCCTTCAAACGCCCGCCGAAACGCACGGAAGTCGAAGCCGACACTCAATGCGGTCCACCAAAGCCATTGGCCTCAGGTGCTGCTACATACGACGGACATCCGACCTCCTGCATTGTTAGGTCGGGGGATTTTCTGTGCTAGGGTCTTTTTCGGCAGTGTGGCATGTTCAACGCCTGTCAATCAGGGCGCCGTCGTTTTGGACTACCGCAGGTACCAGATTGCCAGAACTCAGACGGGGTTTTTCGGACACTTATGCTCCAGTATGAAGGTTTAAGCTTGACTACGATCGCGCCAAGTTCGATTCAAGCCACGGCTTCAAAAGATGCTAACAATAGCAACGATGGCTGAACCTGGCTCCAGGGTCGAGTTGCGACTGAGACGGGATTCCCTTTCGGGTAGCCTTCAAACACCTTGCCGTTCTGACTGACCAAGAAAATTAAACTTTGATACCGCATGTGCTCAGTACCTACCAAATGAGGTTGAAAGACATGTAATTCTTTAACTGCATGTATTCGTTACGAGCAACAGTCCATGGGTGGAGGACCAATTTCCCAGCACTGTACGTCCCCATATGCCCCCGGAGTCCTGAGACCCGTTGCCAATCCGTCATATTTCCCAATCCGTCACATCTACCAACTCGACATATCGAATTGGGGAGCCCCAGCCTTCCCCTTTCTCCCCCTTCCCAGACGAGAGCTTCGCGAATCTGCATGAACCAACCAATTCATAAATAGGAAGCGGAAATACCGACACGGCGGTAGGCGGAGTTTTCTCTGGAGCAGCTGTCAACGGATGCTCCGGAGATGGGCCTGTCATCAACCTTTCAGGATGTCCGCACCACGCCGAGGCATACGTACGCGTACGTGGGTAACCCAATGCGGTAGCGAGCACGAGCGGGCAGTGGCTGTGCCATGCTCAATAGAGCAGCGGCCGTCGGATCGCCCAAGAAAGGTGAAGAGCTCCACGAGACGGTGTCTCACGGAGCCGGGGGAGTGTGATGACCGCCCTGTCAATTGTCAAGTTGGCTGGTAAGGTAACCCCGGAGGCAGTATGATTGACGTTTACATTGGGACCGGCAATGGAGCTCTCCCCTTCTGCGCCACGCGGTCGTCACTTGCGGTACGCGTATACGTACAGATAGACAGCAATGTGGGCGGTCGCATCATCATCTCCGCAAGGTTCCCATCACGCCCAGGGAGCGGCGGCGGCGACGGCGCGACCAGGGCGGCGAGGGGCACTGGAGCACTTTCCGGACAAATATTGCTCGAGAATTTCCCTTTACGAAGTATACGACGGTGCGTGCTCTTGGCGAGGCCGGTTCTTCAGTGACAACGGCAACAAGTCACTCGCGAGGACCTTCTTGAGCAGAGCCCTGTCGAGGAGGTCCATCGTCAGAGCGGACGAGATGTTGTTTTTTGGCGCGATATATCCACCGCCGAGCCGGGACCCTGGGCATTACGGCGGGCCACCCATGCTATTTTGGGCGGTGAGAAGCTCCTGTGGGGGGAGGCTGGGTTGGGAGGTGTTTCGCCCGAAATTAACAGAATATGTGGCAGAAGCTCTCCTGCTCTCTACCCTGCTTTCTCACCTCTTGCCAGCTCGCATCGCCAGGTAGTGGGGTCCAGAGGCTGTTATCGGAGAATAGTCTTCTCAGGATAGGCAATCTGAGCTGTCGAATCGGGGGCCCTCATTTCCAAGATTGAAGGATGACTTACCTCTTTCAGGTGAGCCTCCTGCGCCCTCCTGAATTATTAGTGGCGCATCTGTCAACAACGCGGCTCTCACGCCATTTTGGTGCCCTTCGGCTGAGAAGACAGTTGGGACCAGGGGGTGCGCCCCTCCTCGACTGGCGATCCCGGCGACGCTCCCGTTCTGTCACCCCCCGCATGATCTGCACGTGTCCGGATTGCCTTCCGGTGGTGGTGTCCTGGCAGATTTGATCGCGGCCTGTTTTTGCTTTTGCCCCCCTCCGGCTTTTCTGTCAGAAAGCTTGAGTCCTGTCCGTTGGCCCGCTGTCAAACTCCTTCGCCTACCGATAGCCTCAGATGCTTTCCTGGCCATGCTATACATATCACACCATGGCATAATATATCATGCCATGCCATTCAAGACTTATAGCGTTATTGCCGACTGTTTATCGCGCCTGTCGGTTGCATGGTTTCCCTCGCGAGTGCTTCTCGGCTCGAGCTGGGTAGGAGGATCGGCCCACGACTCAAGATGCCCTGGCTGATCTCGGCTCACCGCAGATAGAAGCGTCCCGAGCCCAGATAAGCCGTGTTATGACACGGACAGCCTCCGGCCACCACAACGTGACATATAGAGATGAATTTGGAAAAACACCACGTCCCTGCCCCTGTCACACGCCCATTGCGTACTGCATCCTCACACGGCTTATGTCGAGGCTCCACAGCTCCGAGAAGGATTTGAAAAGCTTCGAATCGGCCGTGGAGACCTCAGAGTGGCCCCTTACCCCTTCGTCATCATCCTCGTCGGTCCACATGGACTGCTACGTTATGACGAGCAAATGACATTCTCGTCTCTGTTCTTCATCGAGATTGACTAACGAAGTTAAAGAAATGGGGAAGGAAGCCCGGCCAGCAAAAGGGGCATGACCTGGGCGCCGCTGGGGCCGTCGCAGAGGTCGTACAAGCAGAGGCTTCAAGCCGTGATTGTCTGCCAGGCGTGATGCATCGCGAAGGACGCCGAGACCTAAACCGATGGACGCTTCCAGATGTGCGATGCGTTCGCGCGCTGCACCCGAGCGCTCATTCATGCTGAATCGCATCTCCTCAATCTGCTATCTCCATCTATATTGAGTTTCGGGTCTGGCGAGCCCGGAGCCTCGAGTGAGCATCCCCGCGCCTCGGACTCGCGCGTTGACTTGACACTGGAAATACATGATATAGTGCGACAAAAGCTTGAACGGCTGACTATAATAATGGCAGCTATAAAACTTTAATCTCTCGAGGCGAGATAGCCGCAGCCGCTTGATCGCATCGCGCCCTAATGCAGCATGTGACGCCGAGCTGCTGCGAGTTCAAACCTTGAAAGGCGGGCTCGCTGCGCCGTCGCTATCTGTGTTGCTGCATGCAGGCGAGCATCAGGGTGCTCACTCTCTTTGCCCCGGATCCTCACAATGGCCCCAGTTCTGCCAGTTCGACGCCGGGCCAGACTCGCGGAGCACCTGGCTAGCGGCTCGCATGGGTGGCGGGCGGACGCATCGGTCTCGACGGGATGCTAATCCGGGGGAGAATGTCGACGCTGGACGAATGCCAGTCGCTGCACCATCCCATCCTCTGCAGCTGCTTAAGCCTTGCAAAGCCAGATGGATGGACGTTTCTCCTGCTGCCGGCCCACCTTTCCAATGCCGCAGCGTGACACTGCGCACTACATACAGCCAAGTGGCTCCGGGGAATGCCATCCGCATGCCAGGGCTATGCGCAATCTGCGGCGATCTCACGCGAGTTAAACAGCTCCTGCATGCGGCTGCTGCACGTTGGAAACAGATCATGGTCAAGCCTCAGGTAGACGATGGCTGTAGTGCCCGCTGCGACTGCGGGGCGGCGAACAGGCTCTGCTAGTGCTGGCTGGCGCTGATGCCCAGCTGACTTGACTCGGCCGACGGATGACGAGTTGATGGGAGGGGAAGCGAGTGATACTCAAGGCTGATGTACCTAAGGCTTTTGTTTGGGTTCGTGTCACTCGCATGGCGCGCCTGCATAACATGGTCGGTACATGTTGATCGAGCCTGTCTGTGTTGGATTTTAGGCTTTCTGCCGTGCCAGGTGCTACAGGGAACATGGCGCCATGATGCTCGCGAGATGACTTAGCTGTCGATCCTCCACGGTGTCACTGGGTGCTCCCTGAGTATTCTGCGCATAGCGAGGCAATGCAACGCCAGCCTCGAGCCTTGCCGTCCGTTCTCATCAACGTACATCGCTGGACAACAATACGGGTCCAGGCCCGGCTTGACACATAATCAGCCTATTCTTTGACCTGAGCAGGCCATCTGATGGTATGTGATGCTTGTGCCCTGCAAGGCCAGGTGGAGTGGGTTGGGAAACCCCCTCGAGAATTCTGCAGTCCTTTGACGAAAGCAGAGTGAGTGCCTGGAACGCACGCTATTCTGATCCATCGAGTTCCAGCGCAAGAGCTTAAACAGTGCTATTGCGGATCCGGCGGCGGGCCATGACCAGAGCGGCTACCCCAGGCCCGCAGGTACGGCTAGCCTCACCATACCACACGACGCCGCGCACACGGCTGGTCCAATTCCCCGGGTTCAGCCACCAGCAAGTGCAATCATCGCGGGACGACTCTGCCTCGCTCGTCAGGGATCGCCGCCGGGCCGGCATACACAAAATCAAACTACCGACGTTGCCGCGGTTAATTTGACTCGTCAGCTTGGGGGTCTCGGCCGCCATGCGGTCTCCGGGCAGTGGATGCACGTCGCGTCTTCCCCGTGCCTCCAACGGTAACCATACCCTCGTTTCACTAGCCGAGCCAGCGTCGGCATTCGTTGTGTTACAGCAGCGAGAGCTTGACGAGAGATATCTCTGCCGGAAGGAGGCAATTTGCAGAATCACACAGTCAGCCCGCCATGAGCGAGTAGCACCCAGGCTGGGGGCGAAGTCTCGGGGAAACCAACCCGTTAGACTTTTTATTTCCATGACTAAGTGTGGCCCTTTGTGGCCAGTCAGCACGACATCACACGCCGGTGCCTATGCAGGAACGAGTGACGGGCTTCGGTGGCTGTCCGGTGGCGACGCCTTCGCCAGACGTCGTTGCCGTTTTGGATAAAGGTACTCATGACTTGGCTGCTTACGGGATAGAGTTGCTGGTGAACCATCACGAGTCGTCGATGACGCTACCTACCAGCGAGTTCGTCCTGTGGCTGCGTCCAAAATCGCGCAGCGTGCTCTATCGAAACCAGCTATTGCGAATGTAATACTTTCGTCACTTCGCCCTTTTCACCATCCCAAACAATGAATCGTCCTAGTGCAGCAGCGAGTAGCGCTGGCGTGGGGGACTACACTACGTAGTGGAGGTGTTCGTGTCAGCGTCTGGACTAGAGCAGCGGCATGTGTTAAAACTCCCGGTATCTCTGCAGCGCACAGACGGGCCCCTTGGAGGAGGAGAAACAAAACAAAGAGGTTAGATAGTTCCATTTCCATCCAAGCGGCATGGTAGCCTGCACGGTAGACCACTGTGGGTTTAACCAAGCTCCAAAGGCGGAACTGGGGAGACGGAGGCGGCATTCCCGGGGTCTGCGCGTCCCGATGAAGGTCAGGGGGCGTGATAGGGGCGTGATAGGGGCGTGATGGAAGATGAACTTGCGGCTCGGCATATCGCAGCCTGATGATCAACGTGGCCCAGCCGGAGGAGGAATGGTCTCGACGGCGTCAGGGGTCGTCTCACGAATCTCCTTCCGGGGAGCTTGACAGCTGTTCATCAGATGGTCACTATCGTTGGATCTGCGGGTCAGTGCTCGCGTCATTTCAAATTCACGAGCGAGCATAACGACGTCGGCTACGCCAACTGGCGCTAGGGGCGGTCTCAAGTCCTCGCTTGTGGCTAGAGCATCGCGGGATACGGGATACCACTGACCTTGGGGCCTTCGGATGGATTCGAATGCATGTTTACGGGACTTTTGTCGTCGTGAATTGTAAGCGATCCCGAGACGAGACTTGTCGTCGAACTTGACGACGATGGCTAGTAGAATTCGTATCTTGAGACGTGAAGTGTGCGCGGATGATAGAGTCCAGAAAGCCTTTCAAAGTGACTCGGGACGACATTGAAACTTCTCCACAGCGCAGTGGGCTTTGCTCCACGTGCGTGCCTAACAAATCGCATTGGAAAATTTCCATTCTCCATTCAGACGGTCGTTTCGACATTGATGCGTACCTAAGCATCTTGTTGAGACGCTGGCGGAGGCGTAGAACTGCCTTGATTACCTCTACTAGCAATCACTTGCACTTCAGAAGACTCCAGCACATCTAATGTCTCATGTCCAAGTGAATTTGTACGGCAATTACCATAGAAGTGGCATTAGTTGCCTTAGATTGCCTGATGTATGCTCGTCTAAGCCAGTTGCCATATGAATCAGCAATTACTCCCTGTAATTCCTATCGAGGCGAGGGCTTCCCGTGAGCTTTTCACGACTGGGGAGACGTAGTCACACTTGGTATTGGATCTAATGGCTGTTCTGCGCATGACATGGGCATCCTCAACGGAGGGGGGAAAAGTTGTATGCGGTGACGTCCGTAAAAGGCGAAGGAGAACATGGCTTCTGGATGTAGACTGACTACTTGAGTACTGAGCAACTCTCTTGGACCAAAGCCAACATGCTCACCTACAATACCATCATATGCAGCCCAGTGTGTCTTACCCAAAGGGCTGTTCGACGTCACACAGGTTCACATGAGCTGAGCGGCACGTGGCGGGTACCTGTGTGATTCAGACCCCAATGAAACCATTATCGTGGGCCAAGATATCGCGTGTTGTTGTTCCCGTATACGTCCGGAGGTGTCGTTGTTTATGCAGGCTCCCGTCGGCCACCGCCTGGGCGACCGGGCCAAAAGTACCGGACAGACGGGCGGCCTCCTCAACGTCGTTGCTTGAGGCCAGAAGACGAGTCTCTTCATCCGCCGGAGATTTGACTGAGTCGAAAATGAGGTTTCAGCATACGAAATTGATGCAAGACGCGCACGACTGGATACCTGTGACTCAATGGGAGAAATGATCGATTCGACCCGGCCGACCAGGTAGCAGACATCGGCATTCTCGCCTCGACTCCTTCTCAACCGCCGCAGATGAGATATCACATCTGGCTCGGAAGAGCCCGCCTGCAGCGACAGCGCACATATTTCTCCGGTCGGAACAGCGATCTCAAATCGTCGCATACCACGCAACTTCCTCGGAAACTCTAGCCGTGCCGCACATCCCACACGCTTGACGGACCTAAAAAGGAAATGCTGATACGAGCCGCGGGTGGCAGGATCGACTCGCCCTGCATGGCTAGCTATTCCCGCTATGAGTATGCAGCGCGGCGGTAAAGGGGAGGGTGGACTGGTGGGAACTGCATTGCCCTTGCTGCCATCGTCGTGAACCTGGTGAGGGAGCGACCGGCCATCCAAACTGAGTGATTCAAGCGCGATTGGTGGTCGTTGATCTTAGATCTGGCGCATGTCCGATCGAAACCGTCACCCAGTGGCGAGTATATGTTCGAATAGGCAAGACTTGCTCTTTCTCTCTCCCCCTTATGCAATGGTGCAGACAGATCTGCAGGTTGTAAAGATCCTGGAAAGCAGGGTCGGACGGAGAACCGGTTGGACGCGCGCGGGAACCCGGTGTGGCAGCCAACGCGGGAGCAAGGCGACACGGGATACGAAGGCTCGCAGGGCAGGGTGCAGACGAAAATGACGACTTGAGGCAGAGAAGCGAGAGAAGCCTGACGGATGAGGATGTGATAATTGATGAGTTGCGTTCCCCCTTACATGGCTGGCTCTTATGGGAGAGTGCAGTCGGAGAAGCAAAGGCCTAACTGTGTAACCTGCCACAATGAGCTGGGATTGTGATGTACTGCAGGCGGTTTCGACTTTCATAACGGTGATTGATCTGCTGCACTTGCAACGAGACACGCAGACACGCAGCCACCATCGAGCCTCTTGCAGCTCACAAGACATCCAGGGTGCCATTCTGTGAGGCGGTCTGCAAGGCCGACCTCCCAGGACCGGTTCAGGGCACCTGCATCCGGTAGCGCGATACATAACGAGTCTCTCAAAGAAGAGTACAGATGAGTGAGCTTGCCTCCTGGAATTGCCCACACAAATGCCAGCGATAGAGGACATCTGAAAGGTGATATGCGACGAAAGCTACGCATCCAGATCCATCGCCAGGCACCAGACGAAACGGTGTGCAGCGGAATTAATCCTCCTGCCGGGAGCATGCTCCCATCCTGTGAGAGCTGGTTTGAGATGCAAGGGCAAAATCGTGCAGGAGTAGTGCCCAGGTTCACCTGCAACCGTCCCAATAAATCGACAGGTCGGAATTGCGGGTTGCCTAGGCATAGTTTTCTTTGCTTTTTCCTCGCCGGAGGCTCCTCAGTGGCTCGTCCCCGGCCGTCGCATTCGAGCTGTCACAAAGGGAACTCGGGGGAGAGACCTGCTTGGAAGGTAACTGCTTCGTACTGATACTTTGATGGTTTTATGAGAAATGTCATCTGTATCTTGTAATGCAGACACTTGCCTCATGCATTGCAAAAAGAGATCGAATAACGGAAAGAGTATCGTGGATATGCACAAATGCGAGCGATCAGTCGGTACAAACACGAGCCTCCACTCCCGATGAATTGGTACTGCATAGATGTTGGTCCAGAAATAACCATATGCTGGCCCCTTCATTTACAGTGCACTGGGAATTGACTACTCCGGAGGTCCTCGCCTGCTGATTGTTGGGCACCACTAGAAGCGCGCAGATCAGTGGCCATTCCCGTGAGACCGGCCGGCCCCGATCTGGTGTCCCAGCTGCTGAAGTGTCCAGTGTCTTTGTTGCCGTAGATCTATCGAGTGATTTGTACCAAGGATCGGTAAATTGGAGCGAGATGCGCCTCGTTTGAACAGTCTCAGAGGTGCCAGTCCGCTCTGCATCCTCCAGGCATTTGCGTTGGAGGGACGCGGTGGCCTGGGGACCAATGAGGCTGCCCTGCCGCATCTCCTGTTTGGTAGGCGAACCGAACAAAAATGGTTCCACGATGTTACAACGCGAAGCCGTAAACAGAGTTCAACGTCGCGCTTCGCAGAATGGTAAGAGCTGTGCACAAATGCTTGAGCTCTGAGGACATCATGGATGAAGGTGACGCCATGCAGTGGCTCCGAGAGTGCTCAAGATGGTATCCTCCCTGGTGACGAACTTGTGCATCCGTCTCCGCTTGCTCAGACGTCTTTCAGGCACTTGCCAGAAGCGTGAGTTCTCCGAAGCCGCTGTTTCTTGTACTTATCCTTGCTGATCGCGTTCATGTTGCTGTACCGCCGGATGTGACCGTCGTGATGGCTCAGCCAGTATAGCATATCAGTGCTGGTGGCTCAACAGAGACGAAGTCCAGACAGTGACATTTCGATTCAGGCCATGCTCAGTGTCTGTCGGACGCACAGAAGTGCAGGTGTAGACAAAGCGAGATGCTTCCCTACTTTCCAACTGCAATGCTGTCCCACAGACACAAAATTTGCGTGCTTCCCTGGAACAGGCTTCGTCTGACAATCGCTCTGGCCACCTGCGATGTATCATGTTCATCATCACCGATCACCACCGCACCGATACTTCGCATGCGCCAAATGCCTGATGAGGATGTCAGCATGATGCTCCATGATGCCTTGTGAGGTGGAAGTGAGTGCCATTATTCAGACCTAAGGGCGTGATCAAGTGTCGGTCATCACAAACATGAGGCCTCGCCTTTGCTCAATGTTCTGTATCTCCACGTGAAGAGGCGAGGGCCGCATAGTAGCAGAAAGGGGTCTTGTTCTTAGTACTTGATGAGAGGATTACTAACTAATCAAGCGCAGTGAAACCTGAGAGGAAGTGGTGGGAATCAGCATGAATTAAGACCGAAAGCCGATCTTATCAGGTGGCCACGTCGCGCAGCATTGTCAAAAGCAGGACCAAGCGGAGACCTGAGCCATGCGCCTTGCGTGATCCACGGGAGAAATGGGTCAAGGTGTTTGATGTTATCGCCGAAGACACCATCATAGGCCCCGCGATTCAGGAATGGAGGTTAGACCAGGTCCGATGGAACACCGCTAGCTTTTGCCGGTGCTCTAGTGGCGAGCCTGTTATTCGCCTGTTAGTTGTTGCCGGCAGCAGGCTCGAGGGAAACTTTGGCAAACGCCGATGGCAGGACGCTTTAGCCCCCGTTATTGCCGATGACGTGACGTCTTTGTTGATGGTGGGGTTTGGTTCGGTGATGGCTGCACTCTGGGGAGCTCCACCTGAGTAATTGAGAAAGCATAGGGTAATTAGTCAAGGTGTTGTCTATAAATGATCACCAACCTTCTTCGCGAGACTATCATACAACCAAGATCCTGGCGACTCGTAGGCAATTGATATTTGTATCGTGAAAGATCACACAATATAGAACAATTCCAAACCATCAAACCCATCAAAATGACCAAGGTTCTCCTCACCGGTGCGTATCAACAACCTCATAGTAGCCAAATCCCTCAGCATCATTAACAAGTTCCAACAGGTGGCTCCGGCTTCATCGCGGCTCACGTCCTCGAGCAGCTTCTAGAGCGTGGCCACAACGTCGTGACCACCGTTCGTTCAGAAGACAAGGCAGCCAAGATCCACGCTGCTCACTCCTCACTGGGAAAGGACCGTCTAGAGACGGCGATTGTGCCCGATATCGCGAAGCCAGACGCCTTCGATGAGGTTGTCAAGACCCCGGGCATCGAGGTCGTCCTCCACACAGCGTCTCCCTTCCACTTCAACATCACAGACCCGCAAAAGGACCTCATCGACCCCGCCGTCATCGGCACGACTGGCATCTTAAAGGCCATCGCCAGGTCCGCACCGGGCGTGAAGCGCGTGGTCATCACCTCGTCCTTCGCCGCCATCCTCGACGCTTCCAAGCTCACTGACCCCAACACGACCTTCACAGAGAAGTCCTGGAACCCGGTGACCATCGACGAAATCCGCAAGGACAACGCGACCGCCTACCGCGCCTCCAAGAAGCTCGCCGAGAAGGCGGCCTGGGACTTTGTAAACGACAAGTCCAACAACGCAAAGTTCGACCTCGTCACTGTCAACCCACCGATGGTCTTTGGCCCCGTGGTGCACCACCTGGCCAGCCTGGACACCATCAACACGTCCAACGAGCGCATCGTCGCCCTCGCCCAGGGCAAGTGGAAGGACGCCGTGCCCGCCACGGGCGTGAGCAATTGGGTCGACGTGCGCGACGTGGCCAGGGCGCACATCCTGGCGTTCGAGAAGCCCGAAATCGGGGGCCACAGACTCTTCACGACGGCGGGCTCCTACTCCAACAGGGGCATTCTGGATGCGGCGAGGAAGAACTTCCCCGAGCTCAAGGACAAGCTGCCGGCTGAGGACGTTAAGGGTGGCGAGCCAACTCCGGCAGATCAGGTTTACAAGTTTGATAACTCGGAGACCACGAAGCTGCTGGGCTTTGAGTGGATCCAGATCGAGAAGACCGTGGTTGACACGATCAAGAGTCTCCAGTCCTTCTTGTAATTAGACGCTCGTGAGGGCACAGCTGACGGCTGGGTGAGTACGAACAGGTTGCTGCAGCGGCTCTGGTTCACCGCACTATCGTGGATATGGTTCAATGAAGCTGAGAAATAGACTTGTACATCGGCATTTACGCGCCAATTTTGTACATTCATTGTGACATGTTGAGTAGGACCTGTGCTTGCAAGCATAGGGCGGCGTTAGAGCCTGATTGCCACGGCTGATTTCAGAGCCAATCAGTGTTAAATCACATACAAGATGTAATTTGACTATAATATATCTGTACTAATTCCACCAAGCTCAGTTTGAGCTCAGTTCAGCCCCAGCTAAGTCCCAGCTGCTGGGTTGTTCCATACTCACTTGTATACAGGGCCACACTTCCACGGCTCAGTTCGTCCAAAGTAACCTGACAAGATCAGTGGTGCAAAAGTCATACTAGTATCCTCATTCATTTAATCTTGTTGCAAGCCCTGCCCTCATCCGATGGAGGGGGTATCAATCAAATGCAGCCATTCATCACAAAATCTTCCGCCCTATTTATACAACAGGGCCAAGTATTGTATCCCAAACGCCTTCCGCAATGTTCACCATGGACCGACCCATCTAGTATCTACACACAGCCGTCAAAGTAAAGCGTGATCATGTGTGACGCCCCACGGAGCCTCAAACTCAGGCCCGAAGATTCCTTTGAAAGACGAGTAGCTCATAGGAAGTAGTCGCTCGGACCTCTGCGGCCGGCAGGTACGTGCCGTTGATCATCGGGCACGGCGGAGAAGATACTGAATTTGGTGTCGAGGTTCGTGTCAACTGTCATAATGGAAGCCACATTACCGCACCTGTAGCAGTAGTTGGGCGCAGACCAGACAGTCACTACGGACTTCTCAGGGAAGTGGTACTGTCAAGATTTGTCAGCTCTGTGTTGCGAGAAGAATTGGCGGGACGTAGACGAACCTTGTAGCCTTCGTTCACCAACTGGTGGGCTCGTGCAATAGTCTTCAAGCCGTTGACATGGTTGAACTCGGTGGCAACCTTATCGCCGAACAACCAGCCAGCGCCACGGGGACTCACAGCCCACGTATCGATGTCCTCGGGGTCGCTCCACACCAAGTCACAGAATGCACCCTCGTGAGGAATCTCCTGGGCTCGGGCGACAACCCTGATCTGATCGATAGTCCGGATCTCGGGACTGAGGCCGCCGTGCACACACAGGACGGTTCCATCCACAATAGCGGCAAGGACGAGGAAGTCAAATACTTGGCAGCATGCTTTCCAAACAGAAGCGTTGCCATACTTCGTTTGACATTCCTCGTAGAAGCCATAAACCTGAGTAATCTGCCGGGACTCGTGATTTCCTCGGACGAGCACGATCCGATCGGGGTATCTGAGGCTGGTCAGTTCCACTGCGTGTCTTACTGCGCTGTTCACCAACTTACTTTGCTTTGAGACACATCAATAACGTGAACGTCTCAAGACTGAAGTATCCACGGTCGACGAAGTCGCCCAAAAACACGAAACGAGTGTCGGCTGACTGTGAGGGGCCAGTAGCAGGAGCCCCAGCACCGGAGCCAGAGCTATCGGGCCTGGCAACGCTCTCGGAAGATGTATTGGCCTCCTCATCGACGACGTCATCTCCCCCTGCCTCACCACCTTCGTCTCCAGGTGCCTTGGACTGCTTTATCTTCTTCCTCAGCTTTGGATTGGTAATCTCTGTTGGCGGCTCGATGTCTTCTGAGGTTATCACCGTTGTAGCCGTCTGTGGTGCTTGTACATTGGTCTCGCCAGGCATTCCACCAGCGACGCGGAAGAGCTCTAGTAGGTCATAGAATTGGCCATGGATATCTCCGCAGATTGTAACGGGCGTGACGACGGGTTGTATGTTGGACTCTGGCAAGTGTGGTCAGCGCAAGCCCTCGTGCAGTGGGCAGAGTGACGCACCTTCCATGAGGACTTCCTTCACCATCTCACACAGCTGCTTCATGACAGACTCGGGAAGATAATGACATTGTTTTGCCTCCTCCAGCCATTCATCTAGCCCAGCGCCTGGCGTCAAGTTCGCCGGTCCAGGTTTGGGAACGTTAGCCATGGCGGGTTGCTGTTCTTCTGCAGCTTGGTTGGCAGTTTCGACGAGTCTGATATGGGCACAGAATCGAAGAGGTCACTGGAAGAAAGGGCCGTATCGAGTCGGACCAAGATACCGAGGTCGGGCGGGACACGTGAGAAGGGTCTGTGTAAGATGCCGTCAGTGTCATGTCCTGGCCCATCGCCATCTTTCCCCAGTGTGGGACCTACTCAGAGACCTGACAACAGCTTCGGAAGGCTAGGTCGCTCTTGATGATGCCTGAAGATCAGGAGCTTGACAAAGTCTGGGGGCAAGGCGTTGAGATGGATGCTGGGGAAGCAGGTACAGTGCTACAGCAGCGAGCATTTGGCCCAGGGTCTGGATGCCGGAGCAGAGCAGTCGGCGCTAGGGGTTCTTCCCCTTCCGCCTACTGCTCTCGATCTGGGCCCCCGGGGGGTGGAGGGAGGGGGGGGGGTGGTGGCTGGTCCGTGAGCCCATCTTCCCAGGAGGGTACCCAGAGCTCATGGGCGCAGGGGTTGTTGGGCGGATCCTGCAGATCGGGGGGACATGTGCTGAAGTGGGATGGCATTTCCAGACCACAGCACCCCCAAGCACCCCCACAATCGATAGGGAGCTCTGCCGCGCAGATAATCACCCAACGCAGCGAATTCGCCGATAAACAGCCTTGGAGCACATACAACCCACTTTAGCATCCACGAGCTTCCAGATAGACAACCATCGGGATATCTATTCCTATCCTCTGAAATTGGGGGCTGCAGCCCCATCAGCTTATTTTAGGTCTGCTCTTTTTCCCGTGAGAAGAATAATCGACCAGCAGTCCTTTGCACACGACATTGGAAGTCAACTACACCCACCGGCGACAGCACCAAGTCCTCGCCCTCTACCTGTCAATCACCCACACCCTTCTGTTCCTCATTCCCTCCACTCCACGGCTTCACTGCGAACGACGGAACAATGGCCACGCCCCAGGGCAACTCGGGCCCTAAGCAAGCCGGTGTCCTGCCCATCCGGCCTGCTCAGACGCAAGGGCCGGCCGACTCATCTAGGTCTGCGAAGTCGAAGGCTGCTGCACAGGATGGCATCAAGGCCAAGGTTCGGAGACTACCACCCGGTCTCACCGAGCAGGAGTTCCTCACGGTCCTCGGCGACTCGTGGAAGTCGGGCAACGGGAAGGTTGGCTGGTTCTCATTCCATCCCGGGCATATTCCCAAGAGGTGCGTTGACCACGAACCTGTCGAGGATCACAGCAGCTGACAGAGCGGTATTGATGCAGCGCATCCAAAGATTCCACGCCCGCCTTTGCTTTTCTTCAAGTAAAGGAAGAAGACCTCGAAGAACTCGATCAGACTGTCCAAAACGCTACCTGGGAGGACGCTAAGGGCACCTTTAATAGCCCTTCTCTCGTCGGCCCGCCCTACGTGGAGCGTTCCATCTACAAGAAAATGCCCCTTGCTAAGCCCAAGAAAGATCCCAAGGAGGGAACGATCGACCAGGATGAGGACTACAAGGCGTTTTTGGCTAGTCTGGCAGAGGATCCGACAATGAAGCCTGATGAGACTCAAGCTGACGCCGAAGACTCTACAAAAGCCGAGGCGGATGCAAAGACCACTATCGCTCCATTGGCCCAGTTCATCAAGGAGAATCGCGAGAAGAAGGCGAATAAAGCCAAAGAGGCAGCAGCTGCTAGGAACAGCAAACATTCAAGACAGGAATCGCAGGGCGCCAAAGGCAAAGGCTCGTCCACAACACCGGAAGATTCTAGGAAAAAGTCCAAGGATAAGGCCACTGAGAAACCTAAGGAGACAGTGCGGATTCTTAAGAAGCAGGCCGCTACGGAGGCTGCGGCTGAGGCTGCCAAAGCTGTCGCGAAGGACATCAAAGCAGGAAATTCCTCCTCTGACGCGGCCAGCAGTCGCCGCGCTGGTATCCAGGGTGTTGCCAACATTCTGAAGCGTGACCTCGGCCTTTCCAATGGTTCCGCTGCAAGAAAGGCGCGGCAGGAGGTGGCAAAGCAAGAGGCTGCTAAGAAAGGCGACGCTGATCCGAAGGCTAAGGAGTCTAAGGGTAAGGACGGCGGATCCTCCTCGACTGCAGCAGCAGCAGGACCCGCACAAGCAGCAGATCGGCCTCCGACTCCCACGGCACCGAAAGCACAAGCGGAGAAGTCTTCGAGGCCAGGGCGAAGCAGGAGAGGCAAGGAGTCCAAGTCGGCCGAGTCTAAAACCGGAGGGCCCGCCGAAGCTCCAGCCGCAGCACCTAAGGCCCCTATCATCTTGCAGAAGAAGAAAGAAGACAATGCTGCATCCTCCGCGGCTAAGGAACCGCCAAATCCTGCCAAGCCTGCGTCGAAACAAGGTGCCTCTTCGGCAGCATCAACGCCCCCGACTGGCCCGAAGGCAGCAGCCGCTAAGGGCAGCCAATCTGGAGGTTCCCAGAAGAAGGGCAACAACCAAGCGCCGGCAGCCGCATCCACGCGTGCGTTTCTCAAGCATGCCAATCCATCTCAAGGAGTGACCGAGGCTCTATTGAAGGATGCCATGCAAGTCTTTGGAGGGATCAGCTTCGTCGAGATTGACCGGCGTAAGGGCTTCGCATACGTGGACTTCTCAGATCATGCAGGACTGGTCAAGGCGATGGCCGCCAGTCCCGTCTCTGTTGCGCAGGCGACCGTACAAGTCCTTGAGCGTAAGGACCAAGGTTCTAAGAAGGCAGCCGGTACGGCTGGCAATCAGACTCAGTCCGGCACCGCCAGCAGCGGTAACGCAGCGGCGGCGGCGGCTCCCGCTGCCGCTGCCGCTGCCGCTACCTCGGGCCCTGCCAATCCTCCAACTGCTCCATCTTCTAATGCGGATAAGAGCGGCAATGGAGCGGCTGGCGAGCAGCAGCAGCAACCCAAGCGCAGCCGAAGACGTGGTCGCGGTAGGGGAGGTAACGGAGGAGGAGGTGGTGGAGGTAGTGGTGGTGCTAATGGCGAGGGGAAGACGGAGGCCGGCGCTGGGTCCTCTGCATCAGCCGCAGCGGACGCCGGAGGATCTGGCGCTGGTTGAACAAAAAGCGAATTTCACGGTTCAGTCATGCAGCATGTGTTTATTTCGCCGGGGGTGCTTGACCATCGCGGTCCGCAGGGATCAGGTAGCATCTTCAGAGCGATGTTTCACCATGTGAGCTGGATCAACCCAGGCCGGGTCGAAGAAGTAGCTGGAATGTCACAAACATTCAGCAGATCTATCTTACGCCGATGCTGTCTAGGCCATCGCCACATGGTACTCGACTACACGAGACTGAGCTTAGCATTGCTAAAGTAATCACTCGATGAGAGGGCGCGAGGCAAGGAGGACTTGGGCAGAAAGAATGACACTTTGACATGGGGCGCGTTTGGACTAAGCATTCATATAAAGTGCAGATGTCTAGCTGCTCAAAGCTGTCCACGGTGTCTATAGAATCGGCACGTTGGTACCACTGGGGACAATCATTAATTCGCGCGCGCCACTCATCGGACGCTGCCGATCTCTCGTGCCTGTTGCCGTGCTCGCTATGGAAGGATGACATGCATAGCCGGAACCTCCTCATGCGAGGCGTTGTGGCACCAGGACACCTTCTCGATACCTGCCTGTCTTGTCTGTCTGCCTGTCTGCCTGCATGCCTCAACCCCTCTCCCCTCCACCGCGGAGCCCGGCGGCATGATCGCACACACCTACTTCGTGTAACAATTAAGGTTGACGTCACCTTGCCTCGAAGCAGGGCTGAAGGGGGAGCGGCTGCCTTGAAAAGGAGCTGGGACACGTTCATGGTCCCGGCTGCAACGGATGGACAGGTGTGTGTTGTTTGCTGGAGCGTTCGTCAGAGAGCTCACGGATTTTCGGGTCACTTGCTGATGGACAATGCGTTGGCTTTTCTTGTAGTCGGTCAGAATCAATTTGATTTGAGTACCGCTTCTCTGCTCATCATTTTTACTCTCCCCTCATCTTTCTTGCCTCCTCTCCGTCTTCGATCGTCACAAACCACTCCGCTTCATCCACGTGGGTATATACTCGGGCAGTGAAGCCATGGTTTTCCCTTTCTTCGAACCCGAGCCCCAGAAAGGGGGCATCTGTCTATCTAGAAAGAGGTGATGTGTGGTATCTATCCTAGGAAATCATAAAGGGGAAAAGAAGAAGAAAATGTTGTGGTATCGCTGTTCATAGAGTGCCCCATCCCCGTCCTGTCCCCTCCATTCCAGATACCCAGCCTGATATTTTCATATCCATCCTTCCACCCAAAAACTCCGATAAAAAGAACACAGCGCCCAATAGGCAGCCATAAGAAGAAAGGTTTTTGACCCGATCAAGCCGTGAAATGTAAGACGTAAAAATCATAATGAAACATGTATCGTGTGCTCGTGTCCCGACTGACAGGACCTGCATGGCTGACTGCCAGTCCCGCCAGGACCGGGGGGCCCCAACAGGAGACGCGTGTGGGGCTGTCAGCGGGCGAATGTCCAGGTGTGGTGTGAAGAGGAGGGGCATTCTTGAGAGCTCCCCCGGCCTGGTAACAAGTCTGCCTCGCGGGGCGGACAGGTAGGCTGCCTCTGTGTGCCCGATTGTCCAACAAATGAGCCCGGAACTGCCCATGTATTGCGCGCTCCTCAAGCAGTGACCTCAAGGTGGAACTCGTGAGTCGAAGTGGCGCCCAGACACCAAGAGTCCAGGCCAGGTCGGGGCCCATCAATGTGTATTTTTGGGTTTTGGTATGTAGTAAGCCGTGTGTGTCTTGGTCGGGGCATCATGTTGCTTTCGTGCCACGACCAGTGAATAGAGTGATGACGAATCCCACAGCTCTTGTCGTGAATCCCGGTTGCCACATGCAACAGAGTGGAAGATGAGGTTCAGGTAAAGGGGTGTTGATTGCCGCGTGACTGACCACTCATAGCCTTGGCCGTTGGTCTAGTTTTCAGCTGAAGAGGTGAAGGGGGGTGAGCAACGTGGCGCTCCGGATGAAGGATCACGAAGGATCTCAGCTGCTCGGTGAGCATCGGGGATGGCGTCCAAGAGGGATGGGAAAATGTCGCAGTGTGATTGTCGCAATGCCGCTACCTTCGTGGGGATGGTAGAGGGTGAGGGTAGTAGTTTCCATTCTCGTAGCTAACGTGTGACGGAGATGTGACCCCATCGTACGAGTAAAACACAGTAGGTCGCTCCATGCCGGTACTGCGAGGTGTTGAAGAGTAAGCCGGATCTTGGTATTGAGCGACTGCTGGCTGCCCAGTCTTGGAGATCGCGACGGGGCCGTCAAAACGGCGTCCGCCGCTGGTCGTACTTTGCGTTGGTGTTGGTATCACGATCTTGGGACGTGGAACTGCGGCCCCGTATGGCTCAATATATGGCCTCTCGGCGTAGGAAGCACTGCTCATGCGGCGGCTGCTCTTGGGAGCTTTGGAGCTTGATCGCTTGGTGGAGCTGGCATCGCTCGAGCCGGTCTCACTGCTGCGTTCGAAGCGCTCCTTGAGGCGGCCCTTCTGCTGGTCGACGTCTGACTCCTTGGACCTCTTGCTCTCGCTTCGGTGCGGCTTGCTGCTTTTAGGAGAGGCTGCTGTAGCTGGCTGGGCTTCGGAGTCCCGGAGCTTCTTTTGAAGCTTTTCGTTGTTTTTCCTGAGGTCCTCATTGTCTTCCTCCAGGACTTTGTTCGCGTCCCTGAGCTTCTTCTTGTCGCGCTGAAGCTCCTTCTTCTCATCCTCCAGGTTGGCGCATCTATTATCCAAGGCTTGCAGGTGTGCATCCTTTTCCATGAGCTTCTTCATAGATTGCCTCTCGGCTTCCTGGACTTTCGCCTTCCAGACATCGATCTGCTTTACAGCATCTTGAAGTGCCTGCTGTAGAGCCTGTTTCTCGTACAGGGAGTCTGTGTAACGATCAGGATATGCTGTCCCTGAGTAGCTGGAACCTGTGCTCGACGAACCAGCGCCTGAATCACTCCTCAAAGTCGAGGAACGGGAGGACCCACTCCGGGAGGTGTCCTCACCGAACCTGACGCTCTTGCGTGAACCGTCGCTTGGCATTGTTCCCGGGCGACGCCGGATTATTTATTTGGGATGGGTTGGCCGGCTGCTTCTTTGCTTGCTCCAGGACTGGCGAACTGGGCGAGAGGAAGATGCAGGAACACAAAAGCAGATCAGCACGTGTTCTGCGTTGATTTGACCAGACACTGGAGAAAAATGCAGGAGTGCCCAATCTAGGAAGAATCGAGAGAATGCGAGGCAGGGGAGAGTATTTAACTCGGGCGAATTGGGCAGTGCCGGACCTCAGCTTAGACAAGGCTGTGGGCAGGACACCCGTCTTAGTAGGAGCGTTAGGCTGCAAGGAAGGTGGTCAAAAACCAGGGGTAGTCAGAGCCCAACCGGAGCTGGATGGGCGGGTGAGCGGGTGGGAATATAACAAGGAGGGTTCGAAACCGAGTCTCCCTTGTGAGGAAATGGATGCCGGAAGGTTCTGGGCAAAAATCCCAGACAAATTTGACAATGGACAATAAATGAAAAGGTGGGAACGCCCGAGAACCAGAAAACGCCTTGTCACGGAGGAGAAGTGCATTTATTTCCCAATCGAGGGAGGGAGGGCAGAGAGGGACGGACAAAGATTCAATGAGCCTCACGGCTGCCCACACCTTTCCCGTACCCCAGGTACCTGTCGTTCCAAGCCATGACTGCCTGTTGCCTCGGGGGCTCAAGTATCACTGGAATGCGACTAGTACTTGACGACACCATGCGGGCAGGGGTGCGAAGTGGAATAAATCGACGGGGTGACTGGATGCTGCCTTGCTGCGCAACAAGGCAGAGACGGATCGGAGCAAAGGTGGTGTGCATGTGGTACCTCTACCGCAATCCTGGGTGGGCCGAGTGCCAAACGGCGGTGGCTTTTCCCTTGCACTTGCATCCTGCACTAGCACTTAGACTCTCACTCACCTTTCCCATGCCAATACTCTGGGGGCTGAGCATGCATGGCAATGGAATAATATCAGTTGGTGTAGACGATATTGAAAACATTTTGAAATCGAGCCCACGACAACATAAAGGTGAAACCTGCAGCTTCCTCATTGCTGAACCTACTTCTCTGCATTGCTTCTCTTCTATGGAGAGTATTCGGACGCGCAGGAAATGTTTTGGCAACATGGTTCCTCATTTTTCGCTGGATTTCCAACTCACATCTTCCGTGGCCTAATTGGCTAAGGCGTTCGACTGTTAATCGAGAGATTCCTGGTTCGATCCCAGGCGGAAGAGTTTTTTGTTCTGTTTTGATGTTGTGGTTTTTTGAATCGGAAAATCAAATTTCTTTTCCTGTGAAGGTGGAGCGGGCACGATTGTGTGACTAGTGGTGGCTGCGCACAGGCCACCTGCAGCCCCAAAGCCCTCTACTTGTAAAGCTTGGCGGTACTTGGAGACAACCTGCCCTTCAGCTCTGTTTTCTTTAGCAAGACAAGGTCTTCTTCAGAATTCTGTAATAATGAGTAAAGCCTGAGGGTACTATCGCTTTTATCTTCGTCTTGTGACCTTTGTTAAGAAGTGAGTTTACTTCTTATAGTGATGATGTACAAGGCACGGACTCTCTACTATAGTCCACGCACAGACAAGCCACGAATTTCACAATTTCCTCCGATATAATATCACATACTCAAGGCAAAGCATCAATCCTTCATGGCGCAATTGGCTAGCGCGTCTGACTGTTAATCAGGAGGTTGGTGGTTCGAGCCCACCTGAAGGAGTTTCTTTTGCTTTTGCCTCCCTTGACTATGTATATCATACACCCGACACCGGAGAATGATCGTAGATATTATTCTTTGTTAGAGGACCAGTTCTATGGTGTGGAGACCTTGTTTCCCTAAAAGGTGAGCTATTTAGAAGGACAACCATATCTGGTTTTGGGTGTGAGAGCATTTGGAAGGGGCTATATGTGGGGCCGGCTATAGGCCTGAGTTTTGGCTAGGCAGCGCATGCTTGGCATGAGGAGCAGTACAATAGGCTGCAACAGGTCTAGTGGGAACTTGTCACATGGAATCTGTGGAAACTGTTATCCTCAGCGAGGTGGTCTAGGAGGTGGGAGGAGAGTGTCAATAGACATGGTGGTTCGCAAATGTGGTTCGCCCGGATCGTCAATGCAGCGCGATGACCTGGGGGGCCACAATCGCGTGTCATTTTACCCCCCGGAGATAGCCTATGGTTCCAAGGTTGTGTGGGTGGGTGTTTGGATGGAACGGTACATTGTCATGGTAGAACGACACCTGCCTGTGCCCTACTGCCATTAGCCGAACGCGTGCGTCTGCAGCCTGCTTGGCCTCAATGCCGCGCTACTGGGCAACAGGATCGCGTCGTTGGTGCTCGTTCAGCAATTGAGCAGGTGAGTCACCATTGCTGCGAGACCACCCAGGCGTTGGAAGGTATGACTCTTGTAGTTCTGCATTGTCCGTCCTTCAATGTGCCGGTGACACAAAGCACAATGGAGTTCCCCCGACTTGGCGTCCTGGCGTCAACGGTCGCACAGGGCCGACTAGCGGGCGATCATTGTCGAAAGGCAAGAGAAACAAAACGAAACGAAACGAAACAGAATGAAACAGAACCATGACGGAGCAGACCTAGCGAAAATGGCAATTGGGTGAGTAACATGTGGATGACAGGTACCTCGGGAAGGTAGACAGGGCTGAGTGAGGTTGGAGGGGTGAGGGAAGCCAATGTGTAAAAACTACCAACTGCAGTCTTTCCCCAACTTGAATGCACGCACTTAGGTACACTGCCCCGATGACAAGGGGCCCTGTTCGCTCACCTTGCTTGCGGCTTACACCTTCTTCGGCAAGTGGATCTCTGGCAATCCTGGGGATGCAACACCTGGACACCATTTTCCAGGACACCGACAGCCATACAATGGTCTCTTCTCGAGGGCGACAACAGCATTTCGGCTTTGGGATCCAAAGAGGCCGGGCATGGTGATGTCTCATCGAGGACGACGTCCACCACATTATACCTACCGTGTACGTGGTAGGGCAGGGCTGGATAGCATCGTCTGTGCGCAGTCGCGACGGCCCTGATGAGGATTTAAACATGCATTTACCCAGGGTCATACCCTGCGGTGATGCTTGATTATCAGAAGCCAGGCACTGCCAGGCACGGAATGGCCCGAACCAGATCGCCCAACTCGGACTTACACACAGACGTGCGACCACATCGTTACCACACCCTTGGTCCACGACAGGATTAACGCATGTTCAAAGATGACTTGTCAGTCTCCATCGGATCTGGATCGCTGCTTCACCACCACCCTCATAACGCCGTCTGCCCCGGGCTCGGGTCGTGACAGGTGTGGGACTGCAGTTGCGACGGCGTCCCGCAGTGGAGCACAAAAGCCCAGGCTATGCGGTACTGCAATGTTCTGCATAGTGTTCCGTTGACAGGAGCAGCCACCCTCTTAACCTCCTCTGCCCACCTACTGCAGATTGTGAACTCCAAGACGCGCCTCCACCCTTGCAAAACAAACCCCAAGCAATGTGCATAATACGTGTGAGATGCGAGTGGGTGACTCAAAGGACGCCAGGCCAGCCTGCTGCTTACTGTGGAGAAAATGCACCTCAACTAGCTGGACCCGACGTCGATTGTCTCGATCCGTAGCAGGGGGCCGTCGCGCCCGTTCATGACAGCCGGTGCGCGCACTATCAGTCCTACATCACCATGCTTTGCCGAGGCAAACAACTCGTGTCCAGCAGAGCCTCTCCGGCGCGGAGACGTGGATGTACAGCTACGTTTTACGGATCGCCCGCGATCTGATGGTCCACGCACAGCGTGGCCGCACCCTCACCACCTCGGGGCCAGGTCACGGAAAACTCGGCCACACCAAGCGAGCAAAAGCTCAAGAAACAAAAGTCCCCTCAGGCCAATGACGACCTGGGCTCCGTGCCGATTACAAATGGCACCACATAGAAGACTTGAGGCTGAGAGATACGTACACGTTACGAAAAGCTGCAACTTCAACACCGCTCTCCCTGCGTGTCCTACCTCGTTCCCTGGATTTAGCCCTCCCCCCATCATGCAGGACTAAATTCCAGAATTCGCTCACTCCTGTCCAGGCACACCATTCCAAAGCCTAGGACAGGAGAGCTTGGAGCAGCTGCACTCCACAGCAAAGGGGTGCTCCTCGCGCTCGCGATGGAGCGAGCACCTCGCTGGGGCTTCCAGCTCTCCCAAGTGCCCCCTCGTGCCCCAAGCCATGGCGTCTCTGCCTGGCGGCCGCGTCGGGGTTTGCTCGTCACCATCCTCAAAGGGTGCGTGGAGCTGGACGCGAAACACCCCCTCAGACCGCCCTCGCAGCTCCTCGCACTTACTCGGGTGCCCTCCATCTTCCGAACACACGAATGGTCAGTCAAGGAAATCCGGGAAGTGGCTTGAGCGGTATGCTTCAGAGATCTTCATGCTGCAGCAGGTTGACGTTGCTCAACGGGCAGTTTATATGCATGGCGCTGTCGCAGCCTTGTGGTACGTGACATCGCACACCCGGACACCCGGTGCCATTCGTGTCATGTACTACAAGAGGAACAGAGATGAGGGAACGAGAAGAGCGATTCCGAGCATCTAAAGAGAGAGCACTCTATAATATCCGTGACTATGACCGTGACTACGACTGTGACTACGACTGTGACTCGTAGCTTCCCCTCTCTCAGTCGGCCTTGCCCGGGCGCCCCAGTCGCTCTGTCTGGGCCGTTCAGCCGATCGTGTTCACCGAGTGCGCTCGCCCAGTGTTCTGAGAGCAGATTTTGAAGTGAAGTCGAGATTCTCAAGTCACCCATGTTGTTGTTGTTGCTCTTTTTGGCAATCATGATCCCGTTTGGTCGGGTGAGTTGCTTTTCATGGGGCACCTGTAAGCCTCGGGCCGCAAGTAGCGCGTGAGCGGCTCATCTGACAGCTGCAACGCCCATGCGCGAGCTGCTCACGGGGTCCCAAAGTGGCAAGACGATATTGGCGCACTCTGTCCCGCTTTTGGAGGAATTCTAAAAGACAAGCAAGAAGAAAAGATAGAACGAAAGAATTTTGGACGACATCCAGCCACTTGATGAACCTAGATCTCAGTAGGGAGCGCCACTCTGGCAGAACACGCTACTAGATGTAGGCACAAAATGTTCTCACGGATGGGCCTATATAGACAGAGCAGTGCTCGGGGATTGGATCCGGCTATAGCAATTAAATTGACAAATCAAACCATTAGACCATCTTTCTCGCTGTTGGTTTAAACAAATCGATCTATAAAGACAAATCAGATGAGTGGCTTCCCTCGTTGCTACTGCTGGGGCCACGACCTGAGAAAGTGGATTGTACCGAGCCACCATGCGACCACATTTTCGTGCCTAAATCTAATTTCGAGGGTGGAGGTGTCATGATTACACGGTGCACTATGGGACAGATAAAAAGGAGAGGTGGCGGCGATTTGTATCAGGCAAACTTGTTCAATCTGATGTTTGTTTGAATCCAGGGGTCTATCGCCCAACTGCTATGTAAAACCCATCCCTCGAGTGACTCCATTCTCGCTTCTAGGGGGACGCCGAGTGTTAAGATGGAGGGGATACATAATTTGAGGTGATGTGTTGCAACGGGGTATCGTAAAAGAAAGGGGCCAAAGCAGATTTCTATGTATCCCAACAACAAGCACTCATCGATGTCCCAAAAATCGTTGATGTAAACTCCAGCTCACAAAGGGGCAAATGATGGCATTACAGTTGCTGTTGACTAAAAACTGAGGCAGTCAGTAATTGAAAGTGAAGTTGCTTCTCGAGTTTGATTGAAGACGTCGACTCACCCCGAACCCATGAAAGTAAAATCATTCCAAGCGGTCAGCCTCGCGAAGAAAATCTTGACGACGTCGATTTGCGTCAGATCCAAGCGTGCTCCCTGCAAGCATCAGTCCTGAGAGTATCAACTTCCTGCAAGACCGACGACCATCTCACCGCAATCCGTGCTGACGCAGGATGGCCTTGTACCGGTCGACATCCCTCATAGCCTTCCTCTCATTTCGCGCCCGCAATTCGCACGCCTCTTCTAGGCGTCGACTCCGATCGTTAGCCACGTCAAGGCTATTCTGTAGCTCACCGACTGAGAGACTCAATTTGTCGTAGCGTCGCCTCCAAGTATTAATCTCCTCAATGAAACTCCTCGCGCGGTCGCCGACACCATCCCGGATATCTTGCTCCAAACTGTGTATACGAGCCCGTAGCGAGTCGTTCTCGTTCGTAAGCTTGGTGTTCTTGTGGCGCAACCTCCTCATCCCATCTTCGCTGTCCCTACTGCTCCGGTGGTGATGATGATGGTGGTCAAACCCCCTCCTCAGCTCGCGGTTCTCGTGCTCAAGGTTGCGGACAGTAGCCTCCAGAGAGGGCACATGGGTCTGTAGCCTCCGTAGATCTTCGTCGCAGGTCCTCCAGTTGGCCTTGAGCGCATAGTTCTCACGACGAAGAGTTTCGTTCTCCCTGTTCAGAGCGCTCTCCCTGGCCAAGAGGGAGTTGTACTCCTCCCGCGTGACGTCGAGGAAGTCGACCCGGCGACCGCGGGAGGACTGAGTGCTTGCGTCATGGGGGTTCGAGTACGAGCGCTTCAACGGGGCCTTGACGAAGCGTCGATGTCCAGATGGGAGAGTCTCAACCCAGTAGTCTCTAGCCATACGACAGTCGGCGTATTTATTTTTTTGGGTCGCGGTGCCTCGGTCCTGTCGGTATTTATTGGTACTGTGGTTGCAGCGTGCAGAGTAGGAGAATGTGTTGTCGAGGTTTGAGCGAGCCCACGAGGACGGGTGTGGTTTCAGAACAACTTGTTCGACCAGACTTGATAGGTTTTGGTATGAGAACAAACAGGTGATCAAGTTGTGGTGATGTTGTTTGAGGCAAAGAGCGGGAGTGAAAGGTCCAGTGGATCTTCAAGACGGTTATAGCTAGCTCAGGGCAGGGAACAACGGACCGCGTACAATGGAGTGGAGTATGAACTAGAAATGCAAGTAATAGCTGCGTATATGTCTGGCAGTTGGGGAGAGCGAATGGCAGAAGAAAGAAGGTAGCAGACCAGGGGTTGCAACGGGGAGGGCTTGCTTTTTAGCATCTTGGTCAGTCGTAACGGCACGTCCTAGGCTTCCTTATAGGGCATGACAGGCGAGGGCTCCCGCAAACCATCTCGGGACACAGCGATATTATTATGAAGGAAAAGGGTGTGGCAGCATGAGGCTGATGTGTTTGATGGTGGTGGCTCGAGCTGCCGGGCACACACCACGAGGGTCTATCAGCCACGGCCTGGTAGTCATCTCGAGGGGTGAGCGACAAGGATTCTCATGAGGCCAGCCCTTCTCGAGCCCTGCTTGAGCCCTCCTTGAGGGAAACAGAAAGCGTGGGAACAAAGCGGGCGGTAGCCGTGTGTGATATGTAGGCGGGGTGCTGGTTGGGTCGGCCATCGCCAGCCCGTCTGGGGTTCCCCAAGACGTTGGCCTTCAGCTTCGAGGCCGATCTGATGTCGAGGTGTGGCGAGAAAGCGAACAAACACAATCCTCGAGCCGAAGAGATGGGACGGTTCGAAGCCGAGTCCTAGGTGTGTATGGGGCGGCTTTGAAAGTGTAGATAGTCAAGGATGACCCAGCCCCGATGGCCCGTTCTGTTCCTTTGTTTGTAGGCCTGACTGTTGGCCCCTTGGCCCATGTGGCCCAAACACCACAAGGATGAGGTCATGAGAAACGAGACCTCCCCAGACCGAAACTAGAGAGGCGGTACCTGATAATTTAGTCATGTTTCCCTCTTGCAAAAGGAGCGTGCACAATAGGAGACAGCAAATAGAAGAAGGCGGCAGATATACTGGGCAGACACAGTCATCATATTGAGATGGGGTGGGACAGCAGCTCACGCCCCCGACGTGCGGCCCTCGATCATCTCCCTTCTTTCGTGGTGGTTTGGGGTGGTACTGGAGGGCGCGTGTAGTAGCCGATCCATCAGTAACTGTCGCACCTGGGGGCAGGTCGTGGACCGTGAGCGTCAACAGACAGACGCTGAAGCCAATGGCGACAAGGTCGAGCCGCGATAGTGGGGGACGCGGGTAGGTGAGCGACGCTTGACAAGCCAGTCGGCTGCAAGGTGAAGTGGAAGAAGCTCGGGAGGCCTGCAGGTCCGCGTATCTGGCAGTACAGTAGCCTCAGATGCGCCTGCAGCGACTGCACAGGAGGGTCCATGGGTGTCTGGTGGGTGGTGGTGTGGGGGGGGGGGGGAGGTTGGTAGCGGGTGATGGGCGTGACCCCTGACCAAGTAGTGCAAGTGCAGGGAACAGCTGAACAGTGCACCTGCCATCCGCCATGTTGGATCGGGGCTGGGGCCACTTGCCGCGTGCTAAAACTCAAAGGTACATGCCCAGGTGGCCGCCCCCATCCTTCCCTTCCCGCTGGGAACGGCGCCCAGGAAAACATGCATCGCATCCTTCTGCGGCTGAATCTAAGTCCAAGCCTCATCCAAAACACCCCGAAGGATTCATGGCGGTTTGCCTCTGACCTTTTCAATCATCAGCCGGGTTGAGGCCTCGAGGCTGGCTGTCAGGTACCACCAAAACCGCAAGGGAAGCATCCAGAAATTGCGAGAGCGCAACTCAGGTTCGAGATCATCGTCATTCTGATCGCCACTATATGAGCACTCATATTTTCTTATACTTCTGCCTGACTAGAAAGCCCCTTGTCCTGGCAAAGGATCGTTGACCTCCGGACATGGATCGTCATAGAGACTCGGGTCAGCGAACTGTGGCTCTGTGCTGTCGTTGAGCGCCAGCTCTACCAGCGTGTCGCCAGTTGGATCATACGTAGGCCATCCATAGTCCAGCAGACCTCGAGCTGGGTCCCTCGCAAAAGAAGCCCATGCGCCCATCATGTACGCCGACACCGCGTTCTCCTGTTCCGAATTCTCCACGAGCGAAACATCCTGCCCAGTCCCAAACACCATTTCAACATCGGATCCGTGGTACGCACCGCTACCGCGGGGCCCCAGCCCAGCCGTCGAATTGTAAAGCCTCAAGTTGTCCCATTCGCCGTGGTATCGGTACCTCCAGGTCGGCACGAGTTGCTGGACACGGTACCGCGCCTGCGCACCGGTGGGGCACGTGAAGGCACGCTGGTTGAAAAGATCCCACTGCGGTTCCGACAAGTTGAGCTTCGCTGCATACGCGGACAGTTTGTACCACCCCGATTCAAAGTTAGTGTTGCCCAGGAGGTATGGAATGCGTGCGAATGAGCCGTTGCGTGCCCTGGCTTCATAGTTGGAGAATACGAGTTCCTCGTCAACGGTCGGATGAAATGTAGCCTGAGCGAGCGCGATCGTGGGCAACGGCGGTACTTTGGCCGATGCGGCCAAGATCGCAGAGGCATTTGCTTGCCGGACACAGTTCACAACCGAAGCGCCGTCTTCATCCGGCCCGCCGCACCCAATGGCCTGGGAGACATTGAAGAAGATTGACTGGGCATACGCTCTGGTGTTGGGATTGAAGCTGAGTGAGGTTCCAGAGTGAGAAATGAGGCCTGCGACTATAGGGTCGTCCTTCCACGCGGAGGAAAAATAGTCAACAGCCGCGCCTCCTGCACTCTGTCCGAATATTGTAATTCGCGAGGGGTCGCCGCCAAAGCTGGCGATGTTGTCGCGTACCCACTCCACGGCAGAGCGATGATCTCGCAGGGCTGCGTTCTGTGCCAGCCCGGGCGCACCTGAGAAGCCAAATATTCCCAGGCGATAGTTTGGTGTTACGACCACAACATCCTCAGCTGCTGAGAGATACTTGCCATTGTAGAATGGGCTGTGCGGGCCCGGTATTTGGAAGCCTACACGCGATGATCAGTAAGGATGGCCCTCGGGAATTATGGTCTATTAGACAGTCAGACTACTTACGCCCGCCGTGAAACCAGACAAGCACAGGTTTCTTTGCCGTTTTGTTTGGTGTCTTGGTCCATATATTCAAACTGAGGCAGTCCTCACTCGAAGGATTGCCCGTCTGTGCAGCAAACATGTTCCACACACGGAAGCCTGAGGGCTCCGAGAAGTTTGGAAACGGGCTGACTGGTGGCTTGTTCGACAAGCAGTCTGCGGCCCAGTCCGAAGCATTGTGAACAGTACCAGGTGGCGCATTGTATCGCTTTGGTGGAGCAAATCGGAGGTCTCCCACGGGCGGCTCTGCATAGCGGATGCCGAGGAATTCTGTCACTTCTGACCGATTTGGTGCAGCATGGCCGATGATGAGTCCACTCGTGGTGTTTGCAGTTGGTGCAGATTGACCAAGACCTCCAAGTACCGTGGCGGGGCCGAGCAGAAGTGCCGCCGCGATACTCAGAATCCTCGCCATGGTGGATGAGGAATGGAGAGGATTGTCGACAGCTTGTTGCCTGAATGTTGGAAAAGGAGAGACAGGCAAACAGCTAGTTCAAATAACACAAATTAATCGCAACCCTGGCTGCCAGGAAATTGTTTACCGGCATAGTCTGCCGAGAACATATTGGACTCGGGAAGGATTTAGCACTGCTTCGCTAGCGCGATGCGAGAATCTAGAGTGGTCCGCTGCATAAGGTGGACATAGTCGAGGTGGGACCTCCTCCTCAGAAGAACTTGACTTGGAGATGGTCTTGTGGCGTTTCGTGAATGATGTACCGATTGCCTTCATTCCGGGCTTCTATAGCTATATGGTATATTTGCCTTGCCGTCTGTCATGAATATAGCCTTGTATGACTAGTTCTCATGCCCTTGTAAGGTATTGATATGGACGAGCCTTCTCTCACTCAGGTATCTCAGGGCAATTTCTTTGATATACGGAGTAATTTTTCCGTGAACCAGATGTTTCATACGAATGAGACTCTGTTTAGTTTTATGTGGGTATCTTGCTGAGACTTGGGCATTCGCCTTAAATAAATCCATTATCCGTCCAGCTGCTGCCATCCCACCAAACTTCCTTAATCCGGCCATTCACTAGAAAATAACACTTGTTCATATCATTAGAGACTTCCAGCGGCTTAACTCCGTAGCCAGCCCATGTCGTCGCAGCTGTGACGCATGACATCCCACCAACACCAGCTCCGTGAAAGACATCATCAGTAGTTGAGTCTTGCCAACCGGACGCATCGCCGATCCATGTATATGTTATGTTACCACTCGAGAAATCTTGCATCAGTATCATGGTATTCAACTCGTCCGTATCTGCGTACCCCGCCACTGTGAAACCAGCAAGATTGCTCCTCTCGTTAGCGGTTCCGAACGGCAGTACAGGCTCAGCATCCGTGTCGTACACGGCAGTAAAGTTGGGATATCGCTCAAACACAGCAATCTGCCCGTCCATGTCTCTCCTGAAGAACAGTCTCAGCTCATTTCCGGAATGGCTCTTTGTCCGCGGAATGGCTAACAACGGCGTGCCTGAGGCAGGCGAGATGGGTAGCGTCTTGAGAGCGGTATAGGTCCCATTGAATATGGTCTCGGACACAGAGCCATTACTTCCCTGGAGGTAGAACCCCGGAGCGAAGCTTGCAAGACCGCTCCCGCTGGTGGCCGCGAAGCCCTGGTTACCTATGCCAGCACGCCGACCCACGGATGGATAACCAGATCTCCTGCACCATAGGGTCAGCAACAGTTCCTTCACTTCAGAAAATGGTGAAGAAGACTTTGAAACTTTGCGCATTATCACGTCGCAGCTTAAGGACAAGCCAAATTGATTGAAGAAGACATACCAGACTAGTCCCTTCAAGGTTCCCGAGATATCCTGATAGACAAGCTGTGCCTGTGGCTGAGGTGGTTCACCAGGGTTCCTGTTCCACAGCAGCGTGGTGGCTGTGAGCGAAGTGCCGGCGACGGCGCGCTCGTCAAGAGATAAGGTGGTAGGTCCCGCCCATGATCCATACAGGCTGTCGTATATGACGCTCTGGAGAGAGTCGTCTCTGCCCTGGAAATACAGCCAGATGGTATGCTCAGTGCCGTATCGCCACCCAGTGGCCGCAAGAGCTGTACCGCTCCGGACAAGACTGGTTGAAATCAAGGTGTCGTTGGCGGTACACTGCCTCCCTGTCGACGTACCAGAGTCCGAGTCTGAACCTGTGGAGCCCTCTCCGCCGCTTTTGTCTGAAGACGTACGGTTGAGCAGATATTCTGTCACCTGCCACCCCGCGACTCCTCCTATTACCATCGAGACGATTGCTATGAGTATGGTACTTCCGAACAACTTGAGTCTCGCATTCCCATTCTTTCTTCTTGGTGCGTCCTTCAAGTCAGGAGTGAAGATTGGGTTGACTTCATACGTCGTGTGTTGCTGACTTAGAGATATATAACGCTCATTCTGTTGATCTGCGGAACCCACTTGATGGGACGCTACTTCTAAGTTGGACTCTCGTACCACCTCTGGGTCAGTGAGAAAGGCTTGGTGGTGATAATGGTTCATCACCATCGACCCGCGCCTGGCGCTCAAGAAAACAGGCTATCACCTCCCGGTTAATCTCTGCTTTCGTTTCGCCTCTGTTTCGCGACTTCGTTTTGGAATCCAATATTTAACCAAAACTACCACGATACAATAGTTTTAGGGAGAATAGAGTGTATAGTTTGCCGCTCAGAATCGAGATCAAGATATGAACTCTCAAGGGGTAGGAAAGATTGGGCTCGACATTCTCAAGAGGGTCTGAGAACCGGGAATAAGGCACTGGGGGCCAGACGGTCTTGGTCTCGTTGCAGGCCCGCTGTCGCCTTGCCCTGACGGAATCAATAATGGCTGTCGTATGTCATTTTCTGTTGAAGTGTAGATTTGGGGGCAGATTTTTTTGATAGGCTGCGAGTAATTCTCGCTCGTACGGTAAGGGGTCTATTGCCAGCCCCTTCCCGCCTGAATCTCCCACTGTGCTGACCGAGCCAGCCACGGGGTAAAACAATGTCGATTTCTGCTCACCGCAGATGGTTTTAGACCAATGCATAGTAGATCAAACCAGCCCTGTCAGCACGCACTGCAAGTGGTTGCCTAGTGGATGAATGAGCCGGTACGGAAAGTCAAACCGAATTGTTAAAGCCTCTTCAGAGAAATGCTATTCGCTATATCTTGCATACAAGCTCTCCACACTCTATACCATTTATTTCTTCTCATCTTTTCTCGTCTTTGCCTTTTGTGAGCGACTTGCGTTTTCTACATAGGGCACCGGAAAATTCTTGTTTGGCAATCTTTCTAAAGGCAAATACAGGTGTCTCAATCAATCATCCAAGAAAGTCCTCATGAATGCTTCACCATGTGATAGCGTTGGCGTAACTATAAACATCGTGTAGGCACACACAGGGAATGATTGATTTAGAAAGCTCTGGGCCAGCTAAGCATCCTGTACAGTGCTTGGGCTCCTTGAATAGTCCGCTGATGTGGGACGCAATCATTTCACCTACGCATTCCCTACCATTTTGCGATAGCGCCCGCAAAAGCGCCCGCTTTTGCGGGATGGGTCGCAGAACGAGTTCAGCCCATTGCATCCGATAGGCCACGTAAGATACCTCTTGTATTTCTATTTTACAGGTGAAAGAGTTCAAGCGAAGTGTTTTCGCGGAGGGTCCCACGGAGGCAAAAGTATCTCTGGGGCATTATACGGTCCCGATGATTTGACCTCCATTCGTCGCCACCATAGGGGCTCAAATTGTTAGGCTTGACCAGGAAGAAAGAAGACGAGCAAATAGATAATGTGAAAACTGTCTGGCCTTGAACAGTGTCAATTATTAGCAACACAACCTGGTCGAGTCTCTGGATGAAGTCCTTCGCCCTCCCTTTATACCAAGCCAGTTTTACACATACAGGTTCATTTAAATATTTTCGCCAGCATGTCGCCGATGGGAAGAGTCGCTGTTGCGGGTGGATCTGACAGCATTGGAAAGGCTATCGTTGAAGCACTTAAGAGCGACAAGTCGTATGAATACATCGTGCTCGGTCGCAAGCCCAGCGACGACCCGAAAGCAATGGCTATCGATTATTCGGACATTGAAGCGGTACAACAGGTCCTTGAGGATAATCACGTTCATACAGTTATCTCCGCCGTCTCTCTGCAGAGCGATGCGAGCGGGCAAGCCCAGATGAATTTGATCGAAGCAGCTGAGAGGGCGCGTTGTACGAAGCGGTTCATGCCGAGTGAGTTCGGAGCCAAGTACACAAAGGAGTACGCAGAATCTGCCACCACATCCCTCGTAATCTTACTGACCCTCCTCCAGACATCTTAAGGCCCTGCCCGTGTATGCCTGGAAATTCAAGGCGATCGACCGACTTGAGTCTTCCGACTTGGAGTACACACTCTTCTCTAATGGCATGTTTATGGACTACTGGTTCTCACCATATATCCCATCTGCATTCAAACTCAACGTTCCTTGCTGGATCGACCTGGAGAATGACTTCGCCGCGCTACCTGGGGATGGCAATACGCCTCTGGTGTTGACACATTCCCGTGACGTCGGCCGCTTTGTTGTCGCTGTCTTGGGTCTACCGAAGTGGCAGAAGAGATACTACCTAGCGGGAGACCGGTTGACCCTCAACCAGTTCCTGCGTATCGCTGAGGAGATCAAAGCTGTCAATTTTGAGACGCACTTCGATGATATTTCCGCACTTGAAGATGGAACATGCACTCTGGTGCCTGCTGCAAAGGCTGGCTTGCCTAATGAATTCGCATTGCGCGATTTCATGGCAATGGTTGCTGCAGCAGGAGCTAGGACAGTTCGCGGCAACGGCGATTTGCCAACTCAGGGAGAGGTCAACAGCATGTTCCTCGACTTAAAGACATTGACTGTCGAGGAGGCAATTCGAATCTCTTACGGGGCATAGAGAGCGCAGTCGTATTATGATTTATCACTAGCCACAAATCTTAGCCCATTTGATGTTGGTTTCCGCTCGGACCGTCCTGTTCTGTGTTGTTTAGTTGACGTAGGAAATCACCATATGAGGATCTAACTTGGCCTGGCTTGAACCATGTATCCTCCGAGCTGAATTGACTCACAATTAAGAACTGTATTTGTACACAACACATTAGAATACGTTATCATCAATGCTTCTTCAGACTTTGAATTGTCGCTTTTAACAATTATATGTCACTTTATGATATCTAAAGTAATAGGATCTAACAGCACAGTAGATGATACATATTACCGCGCCTCAAAGAGACCTAAAACCTCAGTTGCTCAATCAAGTCCGGCGAGTTAATAAACTCACACCGCTCTCTCAACCTCTGGCTTGCCAAGGCCGGTGACGCCCCGGAGCCATCAACAGCAGAGAGGCCCTCATCCGGCCCGCCAGCCACAAAGATGTACGTCTGGCCAGGCTCCTTAAACGCAGGCTCAAACCCCTGGAACGTCTCCAGCCCCTCCAGGCTGGGCCTCCCGGTGCTCACAAACGAAGACCACGACCTTGACCCCCGGCGAAGCAGGGCGTGGTCCGACTCGTCCGGCGCGAACGGGTACCCGTGGACGTCGTAGTGCGACAGGTTGCCAAAGACGTAGGCGAGCTCGGAGGTGTGTACGACGCCGAGCCCGGGGTAGCCGACGAAACCCAGGATTGGGTCCAGGAGCGACTGGTTCCAGGCGTAGTGGTACACGTCGCTGCCGCTCGCGGCCATGTGCTCGCCGTACCACAGCGGCGGGCACGTCATCATGATATCTCGAAATACCCTGGCGGCGCGGTAGAACTCGGCCGACAGGTCGGCGTCGGCGTTGGCCTGGAAATCGGACACCGGGTACAGCGCGAGCAACTTGTCCACGTTGGCGTCCGTCATGGCGGGAGCGTAGGCCTGGAAGAAGGCGCGCGTGTCGTTGGCGGTCTGGATGCTCGGCTCGGTGAGGTAAGAGACGTCGTTGTCTGCCCAGCCTATCATCGTCGTCACGTTGGCGAACCTGCCTTGTCTGATGAGCTCGGATGGGGCGGCGGGTAGGAAGTCGCCGTCAACGACCGGGAGCCAGATGTCGCCGATGTTATGTGCAGTGTCGCCGATGTACGTGGCTAGCGAGGCGTCCATGAGGGCATCTTTGTCGAAGCCTCTTAGACAAGCCACGGTCTGCTCGGAATCTAGGCTCGTGGTATTGCAGCCCAGGTAGTCGACAAGAAGCTGCATGGCGTCGACTGTGAAGTTTCCGGTGATGCCGGGCTCGAGAGCCTGGCTTTCGCAGATGGCCTGTTGAAATGAAATGGGCTTGCTACCACCGTATGCCACAATCTGCATTCCCACGGACAACCCTAGTAAAATTGGTCACCGTCCATCCTTCGAGTTTCTAATAAATCAGTGATGCTTAACATACCTCCAGTTGACTGGCCAGAGACGGTGATCTTCTTCGGGTCGCCCCCAAAATACTCTATGTTGTCACGCACCCATTCGATCGCAAGTCTCTGGTCCTTCAACCCAGCATTCTCTGAGCCTTCAGACTCAAGCGCCGCAGACCGCGCAAAGCCAAAGACGCCCAGACGGTAGTTCAAAGCCACGTGGACGATGGGCAGCCCGTTCTCAACAGACTCCAGTATCAAGCCGTCAGGCTCTACTGTGATCTCGCTGTTTTGCCCTGACCAGAAGCTCCCGCCGTGTATCCAGACCATGACGGGTAGCTTGTCCCCGGTGCGAGTCCCTTGCGGCCTCGCCACGTTCAGATTGAGGCAGTCTTCCGAGGTGTCCGTCACATTCCCGAGGACGAGCGGTGCGCCGAGCTCGTCCCCAAGCGGCTGCGGGCATGAGGGTCCGTACGATTGTGCAATTACCTCACTGCCAGGTTCAGGGGTGTGTAGCATTGGAGGCTTGAAACGATTCTCACCACCTGTGTCCTGTCCATACGGGATGTTTAAAAAGACCTCGATTCTGTTGCGGTAGAGTCCCTTGTAGGTAACATTGTTTGTCGTATCCACGGCCGTAGGAACAGCAACCGCTAGGATACTACTCACTAGCATTTGAAGCCCATAGGGCAATAATGAACCCTTCATCTTTGCTGCTTGCTGTGAGGCTGCTCGCAAAGGCAGGAGTGGGAACAACCAGCGAGACGTGCAAGCCAGACAATATAAAGAGAGAAAAAAACACACTATAAGAAAATCTAAAAATCAATAGTAGCCAAAATCAAAATTTGATTCGCAATTCGGACAAGGAGACGGGGCAGCGGATAAACATCGGGAGGGCCCCGCAGATCTCAATCAACCCTGATCGCGACGCGAAGCTATCGTCATGCTCGAGCGGGTTGGCAGCCCGTCCGTGTCACGGATCCACCGCATTTACTTGATACGTATGAGCGTTGTCGCTGTTCACAACTCCAGGAGTCAAATAACAGGCACTCCGATGCGATTGTTCGCCACGAGCTCAAATTGATACATACACATATGTACGTAGCTGCAGCACGCCTGTACTCCAACCGGCCGTTGCTGCGATGGGCGCGGTCAATCTCTCCGCTGTTAGTCTGCTTATAATGTGTGTAGCAACTGATTTGTGTGCGATGCATCCTACTAGACTGGAGACAGTTCTAAGCACTCTCTCTGGAATGAGCGTACGCCAAGCGGCCTTCATCGGTCTCTGGTCGTGTCAATTGGCTGCAAAAGCCATTTCGGTCCATACATGATCGCGAACGCCGCTGAAGTGCTTGTTTTGGGTTTTCGCTTTTGCTCTTTTTTTTGTTCTCCGCGTAGGAGACGTGGTGAATCAGATCTAACCTGCCAACTCCAGTGATCAAAGTGCGGTTGTTTCCTTACCCATGCCGCAAGCATGCCACCCCTATTGAACGCCAAAGATGATCACAAATACGATTGACAATTGCGTCCCGAAGCCTTTGTTGAGGGGTACGCCTCAACTGTGCCCCGCCTCGCTCAATCGTGTGGGAAAAGTGCACTGATGGATTCGCCGTGGTGCACTCGGCGGATGGCCTCAGCGAAGACATGGGAGACATCCAGCACCTCGAGCTTGGGACAAGCGGCCTTGTGAGCATGTTGTGGGACGGAGTTGGTGACAATGATCTTGTCGATAGAAGATGCATTGATGCGCTCAATGGCATCACCGCTGAGAATGCCATGGGTTAGGAGCGCATAGACGGTCCCAGCACCCTCTTTCTTGAGAAGCTTCGCGGCCCTGGTGATGGTGTTTGCCGTGTCGGCCAAATCGTCGACCAGGATACAAGGCCGATTTGTCACATCACCAACGAGCATCATGGTGGCATTCTGCCGGTCCGAGATCCTGGTTGGGCGACGCTCCTACAACATCTTGTCAGCATCAGCCGAGGATGGGAGGGCGGAAGGGCCTGCCTACCTTGTGGATGAGGGCGAAGCTCAGGCCCAGATGGTCGGCAATGGCGGTCGCGCGCTTGGCGCCTCCGGCATCCGGACTGACGATGACTGCATCTCTGTACCCGGGAATATGTCGTTCAATGTACCGTTGCAGCAACGGCTTGCCGTAGAGATTATCTACGGGAATGTCAAAGAATCCTTGGTACCTTATTGACGATTCAACATCAGCAACCGCCCGCCCGCCGAGATCGGAAGAGCTAACAGGCTATAGCCGTTTCTAGCATTAAAACCTCACAGCGGCCCGCGCTTGCGGAATGCAGGGCACGAGACACTCGTCCGGCACCCGAGTCGCGTCACAGCGCAACGAAACAGAACGACATATATGCGAGGGGAGATACTAACTGAGGATCGTGCAAATCCATCGTGATGATCTGGGGAAAACAGAAGTTAGTGTTAGATACTAACCCCAAGAAGAAGAAAAAAAGTGAGAAGCCTTTGTGATGGGAGCCCGGATGGGCTGTTTTAGAAAACCAACACTCGTCTGGTTCTTGGGTCGCGCAAGGTGTATCAGCTCTTGTCAGGAGGCACATACATGATCCGCGCCCGCACAAGTCAACAGATCCGCCACCAGTGTTCCGGCCTGAGCGACCCATTGCTTGTAGCCCGGCTTCGCCTGGAAGGCATTGATCATCTGAGGGTTCTCGTAGTCGTGGGTCGTGTAGTTGCCAGTCATCGAGGAAACAGATTCAGCATGGTTGCGTCCCTTGGCAGCGTCCGCAGCTTGCTGAGCGGAGTCGCCGTTGGTTCGGCCGTTCCCATTGCCGTTGACAAGGGCTGCCTTGGCCATCATCTTGGTGATGTCGATGCCGCTGCTGAGGGTGTCGCTCCTGGGCAGGCCGGGGCCCGGAGTGGCAGGGACGCTCTCGAAGGTGTATCTGCCCGAGGTGTCGCTGGGCGCCTTGTTCAGGGGCGCACCGGCCTTGTTGTAGGGCAGGTCAGGTTGTCGGGAGTAAGGGAAGAGGGGCAGGACCGCAGTGACCCTCTTTGCAGAGCCAGTCTTGCAAGCAGAGACCACTATGGAGCGTCGTCAGTAGACTGACCAGGAGTGCGAGCCCGGGGAAAGTGGATCTAACTGATGCAGGTTTCTATGAAGTGGTCGTTGACTTTGTCGGCAGGGTCTTGAGTACCCGCCGTCTGGATGATGTATACATCCTTCCCACGGACAGTCTCCTTGATCTCGCATCTGCTCTCCCCAACTTCGAACTTGGAAAGGGTGCGGTCGCAAGGAGGAATGCCAAGAAAGTTGCAGATATTGTTAACCAGCTCCGGGTGGGAGTTGCCCCCCAGAATGACGAGGTTGCGGACCATCTTTGCTCTCTCTGATGAAACTGAAAAATACCGTGGGGGCGACGGCGACGATTGTCTTGTAAGGAAGGCCTGGACAGGTATCGGTCAGGGTTTCTGGGAGGGCGAATTGGGTGAGCGCGACTTCAAGGTCAGGATCGTGGGCCGCCGACGTCACAAGAGTTGCCGAGGATATGCGCGGGTGAAAAAGGGTTGGAGGGGCATAGACGAGACGAGACAAGAACGGAGGCAGTCTTCTAGGCCCAGAAGAAGTAAGAGGCCGGCAACAGCTTGTCTCAGGAAGTAATGTCACAGAGGAATCATTGTGTCAAGTTCGGATCGCAGCATGAGGGAGGACTGAGGAAAGAGGATTGAAGGATGACTGAGGTACGAGAAAGCTGGCGAACCAACTCGACGACGGGCAGCAAGGCGAAGAGAAAAAAATTGGATGCAGCACACTCGACTGGGGCCCTGACCCTGACCCCCGGACTGTTCTGCACGCTGGCTGCGGGACACCGCTTTTGTCTACCCAGGGTACTGCATACCAGACTCTGCAGTCCAAGGCATAATTGCTGTGTGCCTGGGTACTACGAGGTACATGGTTGTTCAGCAGGTCCCGCCTGTATCTTAGCGTGCTTCAGCACGAGGCACAGGTGGGGTCAGCCACTGGCTCGCCTATCATTGGCCTCCCATTGCAACATATTGGGGGCATTGCGATTGCGAGGCGCGGGGTACTCGGTACATCTTGCCGCCCGAAAAATGGAGGACCAGGACCTGGAGTTGTGCTGTGAGTGTGTTTGACTGACCAAGCCTATGCCTCTGGACGGCATTGCGTGCGAGCACGGGTGTTTCAATTCGCGACACAAACAAGAAGAGGTTCCCTCTTGGCTGAGTCTAATTGACTCTATGCGTGTGTGTGTGTGTGGTGGAGGAGACTCAGGCAGGCAGCCCATACATAGACCAGACTGTTAAGATACCTGGAGATACCTGTAGGGCTGAGCGTGTTGGAGTAAATTTTCTAGCCCTGTGTTACTGTTGCCCCAGTGTCGAGCTACCCGAGAAAAAAGTCGACTGTCACAAGCACGAACCGCAGCCATCAGGAACCATTCCACACGTCGCACAGCAGCATTGCCCTGCCTGGTGACTCAAATACGGTAGCCTCATCAACCGGCCCAACTCAAATTCGCCCACCTGCAGCAGATCATTCGACTGGGGCAAAAAATAGCAATAATCGAATTCACAACCCGAATCTTACGGGCACCTGCACAGACACACACAAGCACAGACAGATACAGATAGACACAGGCATCATGAAGATCCTCGAGTCGCAAAGCGCCATCCTGACAAATTTCGAGGTCTATCAACACCTCCTCGGCGAACAGCAAAAGGCCAGGCAGCCTGAGAGGAAGAGGCAAGTCCCCAGGAATCTCCAAACAGTCATTAAAGAGGTAGGTCCTGATGCCACAGCCGGACATTGAACGATGACCCAGAAATTATGAACCAGAAGCTAAACCCCATGCAGGTCATTGACCAACTGCGGACACAACCGGATCCTCTCAGCCAAAAGCCCATCACATATGATGCCAGCAGCATTGGTCGGCTGGTCGACAAGCTGCGCGACTATGATCTAACCAAGGGCGAGACCATCATGATCATCAACCTGCGTCCCGACAACCCCGCCGTCTTAGCTGCGTGTGTCGAGGATGCTGAGTCACGCTTTGACGAGGACAAGCAGCAGGCGATACTCGCCATCATCGAGGAGGTTCTTGGGCCATTGCCGGTCAAGGAAGCTGAGGCCTGATCGTGATCGTGATCACGAACAATGATCCTGACTTTGATCCAAGTCGATGTGAAATCTGCAGCAATGAAATTCGGCTGACACGCGTGCCCATCTTCTCGCTAGAGCACAGTATCTGAACCTTGACAAGGTTGCTCGCGTTGGATGAGGCATCAACGCCATCGACGACAGTGTCACATCACACAACACCCTCCGTCGCTCTGGCCACCTTGATCGCTTGTCGTCTTGACAGCCATCTGGCAGATCTCCTCAAAAGCCAGCTGGAGAAGCTCTCCTGTTACCGCGGAACATTCCACGTACTTGTCGACCCTCATCTCTGAGGCGATCCGATATGCCTCCTGTGGGTAGATGATGCCGTTAGGGTCATCCTCGGACCTCAAGTCCCGCTTCAGACCGAGCACAGCCAGGGGCAGCGTGCTCTCAAACTGGAACGTCGCGCGGACTTCTTTGATCCACTATTAGCGGGTATGCGGTTAGCGAATTAGAAAATGGAGCGGAAGGCGTTGAAAGCGAAGGGGGGATGGCCACATACGACTCGCTGGAGATTGATGAGACTCAGGCGCTGGCTTATGTCGTAGCAGATGAGGATGAGGTCTGGCCGGAGGAGCCGCCAGTTGTCGGGGCTGGATGTATCATAGAACTCTAATCGATATTGCCGCCCTCCGAATGAGACCTCGAATAAGAAAGGCTGTTCTATGTCCTTGAGTAGATTTATCGGCCTGGTGCCCACCAGGTTGCTATGCCCCTGACTGATTCGTCTGTGTGTCAAGTCAGTTACATCGTCAGCAGGTACAGGAGTGCTGGGATGCTGGGCGCAACACGCACGATAGGAACGTTGTCTTCCCTACTGCCTCATCGCCCAGTAGCAATATGGATATCGTCTGAGAATCCATGGGGTCAGCTAATTCATGAATGCTAACGAAGCTCGTCGTTCGCAAGAGCTGGCTTGAACCATGACGGCTTGCAGGCTGAGGGTAGCGGTTATATACCTCTTTCGGAGCCGCCATCGGCTCTTATCGATAAGGATTCTCACTGTAAATTTCATGGCTCACATCTCAACCAACACTGGTTGTCGCATAAGCAGGCTTCATCTGCATGAGTTGACGATAAACGTATGAAGTCACTCAGGCCCTTCATTTCCGGCTCACGATGGAATGAAGCTAGTTTTCTCATCCCCTCGTTCCTGAAACCCCCATCGCCCGCCGTGAGGTCAATCTCACAGCCAGCTGTGGCAAGACTCATCTCATACAGAACGACGAAAATGGCCGACTACAGCAAATGGACCAAAGACGACCTCGTGGGCCGCATCAAGCAGCTTGAGAACGAGCTCAAGTCCCGCAGTGGCGGCCTGCAGCCCTCGAGCTCAGAGAAGCACCATGATGTAGAAATAGCGTCCCTGCCAGGCGAGCCCGCCAAGAAAAAGGCGAAAAAGAAGGGCAAGGGCATGGACCCGACCAAGTACTCGCAGCGCTTTGTGGCCCTCAAGCTCGCCTACTTGGGCAAGAATTACAACGGTTTCGAGTACCAACCGACGGGTGTCATGTCCACCATCGAGGAGGAGCTTTGGAAGGCCCTCGTGAAGGCGTGCCTGATCTTCCCGGACCCGGAGCGGCCCAACGAGGTCGACTGGACCTGCTGCGAGTACTCCAAGTGCGGAAGGACGGATCGCGGCGTGAGCGCATTCGGTCAGGTCGTTGCGCTGCGAGTGCGGAGCAATAAGCCCGTCAAGGGCAAGAGGAAGCCTCAGGCCGCGGCTGCGGGTCAGACGGGTTCGGACGATGTTCAGATGGGTGGGACGCCGGCTGCTGAGGAGGCGAGTTTGGAGGGCGAAGGGGAGAAGCAGGAGCAGAAGCAGGAGGATGGTGATGACAATGAAACGCCACTGCCGGTCGACCAAGAGATCCAATACTGCCGCGTGCTGAACCGCATCCTGCCTCCAGACATCAAGATCTACGCGTGGTGCCCGAGCCCTCCTCCAGACTTCTCGGCGCGGTTCAGCTGCCGGGAGAGGCAGTACCGCTACTTTTTCACACAGCCGGCCTTCGCCCCTCTACCAAACTCCCTCGAGGCGAATCACAACAGCAGTAAAAACAACGCGAAGTCAGCCTCGTCCTCACGCAGGCCAAAGGACGGCTGGCTCAATATCGACGCCATGCGCAAGGCGGCAAAGATGTTCGAGGGCGTGCATGACTTCCGCAACTTCTGCAAAGTCGACCCCTCGAAACAGATCACGAACTTCGTGCGGCGGATCTTCGAGTCGGATATCGTCGAGGTGGACGGCATCAACACCGCGGTGCCGTACCTAGACAGCCCACAGTTCCGCGACCCCACCGCGGCCGCAGGCGTGGCGCACCCCAAGGTGTACTACTTCCACGTGCGCGGGTCGGCGTTCCTGTGGCACCAGATCCGCTGCATGGTGGCCGTGCTGTTCCTCGTGGGCCAGGGCCTCGAGGACCCGGGCGTGGTGGCGGAGCTGCTGGACCCGGAGCGGCACCCGCGCCGGCCCAACTACGTGCTGGCCGATGACAGGCCGCTGGTGCTGTGGGACTGCATCTTCGGGCGGGAGAACGGCGAGGGCGCCGCGGATGAGGTCGACTGGGTGTACGTCGGGGCCGACAACCCGCTGAGCCTGCTGGGCACCGGGGGTGTGGCTAACGACCTGTGGGAGTACTGGCGCGAGAAGAAGATGGACGAGATCCTGTCTAACCGGCTCCTAGACTGGGTGGCCACCAAGACGGGCGTGGAGCGCGTCACCGAGGCTCAGAGCCAGGTTCTCCAGAAGACCAAGATGGGCGCGAGCACGAGGGTCTACGAGGGGGGAAACGGGCCGCGGTTCGTGGGCGCATACGTGCCCCTGCTGAAGAAGGATAAGCTACAAAGCCCGGACGATCTGAATGACCGGTGGGCGCAGCGCAAGGGCTTCAAGAACGCGGAGGAGATGAGAGGGGTCGGCAACTGGAGGGACGCAATCAAGGAGATGAAGAATGGCGCCGACGAGAGCGTGGGCAACGAATAAAATTAGATGAAGCCAACGTATGCTCGAGTCTAGATTCCAGCGCAGACATAATACCCACTTCTACTATATATTCTACCTCTTCAACACTCCCCAGGTCCAAATTGTCTTATCCTCACCCATACTGCCCCTTCTCATCCCACCTCTTACTCACGGGCACGCTCCCGTCCGGCTCCCACAGGCACCCTCGCACGCCCCTCCAGACGGCCTCGACGACCCTGCGGCCGGGAAGCAGGCGCGGGAAGACGACGACGACGTCCTCCTCGCCATCGACAACAACGACCAGGTAGTAGCGCACGGCGAAGCCGCGGAACGCCTCGTTGATGAGCACGTCGCGGATCTTCTCGGTGGGGATGAAGCGCGTGCCCGCGCGCCACCCGGCCAGGTAGCTGCCGCCGATGGAGCTCGTCTGGATCCCCAGCCCGCGCAGCACCAGCAGCGACTCGGTCGTGTGCACCCGCAGCGTCGTCGCGTACACCACCGCCGCGCACAGCGCCACCGCCGCGTGCGCCGGCAGCCCCGCCGCCACCCGGTGCGCTAGCTGCCCCGGTGGTGAGAGGTGCGCCGCGCGCGCGAGGTACGGCAGCCAGTCTGTCGTGTAGAGCGTGGTTGGCGCGGGGTTCGCAGCGGCGTCCCCTGGGCTGGCTATGGTGGGGCCCGTTGCGGTTATTGTTGCGACTGTCGTGTTGATTTTGTGGTGCTCATGGAGGAAAAATGTCGTGCTCGTCGCCGTGGGGGTGGCGGTCGCGATGGTTGAAGGGAGTTGCGAGTGGTCTTGGTGGCGGTAATAGGGCGAGAGGGTCCATGTCGAGTACAGCACGAGCAGGACGGCGAGGCCGAGGAGCACGCGGACGATGAAGACCAGGCTCAGGAGGATGCGCAGCGACAGGGTCGGCGGTGGGCAGGTGGTGACGGTGAACTCGGCGGTCGTGGGAGACGGGCGGCGGACGTGCAGGTGCGGCGCGGTGGTGAGCATCGTGGCCGGGTCGTGGCGCAACGGCCTTGTTGGGGGGAGGCTGTCGCGAGCTTGACTTGACTTGGGTTGACTTCGCTTGCAGTGGCTGTTTGCAGGTCGCTGGGTTCTCGAAGGCGTGGTTCAGAGCCAATTGCCCATCCTGACGACCCCTGCGCAGATCGACAGGAGCAGGGAGGCTATGACGCTGCCATTGAAGGAAAGAGAAGTGGTGAGATGCGTAAGAGGTCGAGGTCGCGTCAGGATCGATGTAGGGGTCTGCAGGTTGCATGGGGTGACCCTTGGTGGTAGCTAGCCATGGGTTGATGATTAGGTATTTAAAAGCATGATCTGCCCTGCCAGACATACCCACCATAGGCCCGTTAACTATGCAAATTAGGACATTATAATGCCATGGCAATCATTAGTGGCTCTCAATTGCTATCATGTTACCATTTGGATCAAGCGGTCGGTTCAGATGGTGTAAGGCGTGTTTGAATCCAGTTATGTGGCAGGTGTCCAGCCCCGTCACTTTATAAGCGCCCAGTTTCGTTCAAATGTCAGCTGTAGTGGCCCAATCGGGACGGAGGCTTGCAATATTCTCACCCCACTATTCCATTTCCATTAGAACCCCAAGACGATGCCCAGCGCGAGTGTGGCAGCGGTCACCCACTCGCTCGGGTAACCAGCGATGCTGCGTGTGGCCCGAAGCCGCGAAGACGATTCCTCAGGGAGGCTTCACTCTGCAGGGGCGTCTTCACTGCTGTACGGCGTGCTGGATCACATTGTCTTGGGTTTGGGGTAGAGGAGAGAGATGGCGATGTCAACTCCTTTTTGCTTTTTTATATCATTTTTTATTTCAACTTTGTACATTCAATTAATCAATCCATCAATCAATAATTTATTGTCTGGTTTCTGGCTGCACTCATTTCTGACTTGTCATTCAATTGACGAGCATCTCGAGTACCCTGCCGCTTCCTCCGGTGATTGACAGGCCGCTGTCAACCCAGCCCGTGCAGAGGTCCCATGTTCGAATGCCCACCAACCCAACAACTTTTGCGAGCCATTCGACCACCGAAAATGTCACAACATGCAATCAAGATCTGCTCAGAAGGCAATACCGTATGGTGAACGAAAGATGTATTTTGCTTGTTCAAACTAACCAAACTTGCTACTTATCAGGGTCACCCCTTTCATCCTCCTCTGCCTCTCTCTCTCATATCCTGCCTAAGAAATTGTAAAGAGAGATCAAACCAGTTCAGAAATGCGTCCATGATGATATAGGAATAGGTCGAATAAGAATGCCGTGAGGCAGCATTATATTACACCCGAGCGCTGACTACTTTCTCCAAGCTTTTCTGTGTCGGCAGTGTTCAAATCCGCTGGGTGAGTCGGCTGGGTTGATTTTGTTTTTCGTCTGGTGTTTCAATGTTGCCATCATTGCTCTCTGTCTCTTCTTGTTTTCCATGGTCGTCACCCCACCTGAGTCCCCCACCTCCCAAAGTGTCATCAATCATTCATGGAAAAGGTGAGAAAAGGAGAAATAACGGTACAATAGGGTCTGCCCCGTCCATCTTTTTTCCCTTCCTATCTTCCTATCATTCTTCCTTTCCTTCCTTCCTTTGCCTCCACCATCATCACGTCGTAAAGAGACCTCATAGTCGAGGGGAGAGATAAGGATGTTCATGATAATAGCCGTTGTTGTTAAGGAATAAACAAGACTTGGGATTTTGAGGTAAATGCCATGTGGTAATAGGTATTGTAGAGATTGGTGAGAAATGTACAAATTGTTGCCCTTGTTGATTGGTATATCGCAAGTTGAAAAGTTGAAGAAACATAAAAATTCGAAACCCGAACGGAACAGTCAAAACAGAAGCTGTTGGTTGTCCCCCATTCCTGGTTCTCAATATCTTTTGGGAACACGCGCTCAAAACGGGTCCCGTCGTTGACGCGTAAGAAAGTTTTGGTATCAAATGCGTGCAGAAGTGGAAAGTCAAAAAAGACGCCAGCCGCCATGCAGGATCGAAACGAACAGATTGTAGGAAAGTAAAGAGCAATGCAGAAAATCAAGAAAATCAGAAGAATAAAGAGCTGAAAGAAAGCAATGCGGTAATAATAATTGTTTGGCGTGGATGATTTGTCGGGAGGCTCAGATCATCTTCTGGCTCAGGTCGAACTCCTCCCTCATCGTCCTGCCGTCAATGGGCGACTTGAGCTCGCGGTTGTGGAAGCTGACTGGCGGGCCCTTTGGTGGCAAGGGGATGCTCTCGTAGGGTGCTGGGCCCGCGCTCTCGATCGGGGACTTGGTCCGGCTGACGACACTCGAGTTGTTGCGGCTCCGGCTTCCGCTCCTCATCCTCTCCGTAGCGCGCGAGATGCGCCCCGCGATGCTGTTGTCCACGCTGCTGCGGCCGCGGTGGTGTCCGCGAGGCGGATTGGGTGGGGCAATCACGGGGACGGTAGTCTCAGAGAGGGGCTGGACTTTCTGGTTGTTCTCGGACTGCGAGGAGTCATCGTTGTCCATGACGATTTCGATCGTGCCCGAGGCACCATAGACGACGGGTGGCTTGCCGCCGTGCGCGAACGGGAGAGGTGCGGGCGGTGGTGGGGGTGGTATGGCCAGGTGCTGCAATTCCTTCAAGACTGGAGGAGGTGGCGGCGGCGGCGGGATCTGGTCAGCGTTCGAAGTGCGGCGCGAGTGGCTGCTTCTGCCGACGAGGTTGTCATCTATGACCCCGTCAATAGTGCGGTTGTACTTGTGCGCCGAATGCGCATCGGGTGTGCTCAATTTCCTGAGAGATTGGCCCCTGGTGAGCCTGCTGTGGCCAAAACTGCCGTCACCTTGAAGAGCTTGGGGCGCAACCGGCTCCTCCGGCGGTGCGGACATGCACCGCTGGATACCCGGTCGAGATGGCGGCTGATAGACAGTGGAAGGGAGCAGAGTGAGAAGGCTCTGGCCTTCCGCAGCCTGAGGGGAACTGGTTTCCTTCTGCGGGGAATTCTGTCGTGACCTGGGCGACTCGGCCTGAGCGAAAGTCGTGGGGATGGGCGGGACAGGTTCGTCAGGGCTGATGTCCTTCTGGCCCTCCATGACCAGTCGCATTGCCTTGGGAGTGGCGGGGAGACCGATGAAAGGGCGGGTCGGCTGTTGAGCGTACATGCTTCGCTTATCGGGCTCCGCGGTACGGCTGCGAGGCGGCAGCTCCTTGGGCTGGACGAAAGTCGTGCTGGGAAGCTCGAAAGCAGTTGGCGCGCGCTGGATGCTCGCACCAGGGAATGATGGGGACAGCTCATCCGGGTGAGGAATGGGAGGGGCGAGCGGGCGCTTGGCGAGAGACTTGCGGCGCTCCTCAAGCTCACGGGCTGCGGCCTCCTTCTTAAGCTGACGCTCATCTTTGATGGCTTTCAGGTCTCCGCGCCCGGAAACTGCGAACTCAACGCGTGGGGTACGAGATCTGGTTTCCTGTGGCTCCCTAGCCTTGGAGCTTTCGCGTGTCATCGGCAAACCGGGAGAAGGTTCACGGGACTTGCTGCCGCCACGTGACAAGGCCTTCCTGCTGCGGAACTTGGCCTGGTCCTCTTTGGCCCTCCTGTAGTCTTCTTCGTCCTCGGACCCGAAGTAGTGCTGAACGCCCGCGGACATAGGAAGAGGTGACGAAGGGGATCGTGCTCCTGAGCCTTGGCGATCATTACTGCGGCCGCGAGGAATCTCGAGGGGTGCAGGCCGCATGTCGTCACGGCTCTCGCCCCGACGAGGACGACTTCTAGAGGTAGCTCGAACAGTGCTCGCCTTACGGACAGTCGCAGGCTCTTCAATTTCTCGACCTCGATCGTCATATCTGGTCGAGTTAAAATTAGGAGTGCTCAGATTGAGCAAATCCTCCGGTGACATTGGGACCGGAGAAGTTGGAGATCTCTTGCCAGCTCTGGGCGTGTAGCCTCGAGAAGCCGTACGGCCCCGGTCACCAGATCGCTCACGAGAGCCTCCCTTGCGTGTTGCGCTGCCGTCACGGGTCTTGTTGCGTCCCTCCCGGCTACCGCCGCGGGACTTCGTCTTGGCTGCCTCAAGGCTGCTGATGTAGTCGTCCAAGCTTTTCCCACCTTGATGACCTCGGGGGCCCCTGGCAACGCTCGAGGCAGCAGAAGCAGAAGTTGTGGAGCTGGCAACAGAAGGTGGCGCACGGCGTCTAGTCGGCCAGTGGAAGCGAGTCGACGACGTGACCGATTGCTCAGGCGAGGTTACATCGCTGCCCACGGCGTTGTCCAGAGATTGGAGCTGCAGTTCCAGTCCGCTGGGCATGCGCTCGCGGGGTCCATTGCGGCTCCTCCGGCCACTTTGCATGAGTATAGCTAGGGAATCTGGCGAAGGAGAAGGCGGTGGGGCCTCCTTCCTGCGGTGCGTGTTCTTCATCATCATGGGGCTGGCTGTAGCTGCTCTTTCCAGTGACATGCCCATGGCGGTATACTCTTCGTCGGTGGATTTCTTGCTCCTGTGACCTTGACGGGCAGGAGAGTCGATTGGTGGAGTGAGAGCATCGATTCCTTGGGGAGGCTGTGCGCTGGACTTCTTCGCAGTGCTGCGCAGGTTAGCATCGCTTGGCATCTCTCCGATAGAAGGAAGCCTTCCGCGGCCGAAGTTGCTGGTCTGCGAGCGCGCCGTCGTCGGCGTGTTGAAGGCACTGCGATTAGAGGGCCTGAGGAAGGCGGTCGTCATGTCTTCCGCCCTTGGCGAGATGGCCGACTCGGCAATGGGAGTGACGCCAGCTGCGATCGGTGTCTGCCCGCCATCGTTGGTTGAGAAGAACTTTGACTTGGAGTTCTGGTCTCCAAACGATGTGATGAGCTTGAGTGCAGATGTCTTAGCAATGCTTCGCTGAGGCCCGCGGTTCAAGCCGGGTGGTGAGAGGGGAGGGCTAAGGACTTCAGGGATACTGGGGTTCACGGCTGTATTGATACTCTGGAACGTCATCTGCTGTGCGGACGGTGAGGTCCAAGGTTCATCTGACTCCTTGCCAGAGCAGGCAAAACTATTCACTCAGTGTTAGTAGGTGGTAAAAAGATTCGTAGTCTGAATAACTCACCATCGGATCGCCAATTGCTGGTGTCCATGCTGGACAGCCCATTCTCCCCACTTCTTCACGATCTGTGCTTGCCGCTCCCACACTGAGGGGAAGAAGAGACAGGTCAGGATCAAAGCCTCGAGGTACTTCTTGTGAGAGATGTACACCTCAATCGCATCAGTCTGGTCACCCATTCCAATCATGATCGTCACTGCCGAGTGAATATCGCCGGTCTCGAGTAGTCGTTGAACGTACGCCAGACCCAGCTTGTGCTGTGCTGCTGTGCCACCTATGCCGCTCAACGCCAGAAGCATCCAATCCGAAGACGTCATGTTCTCAGCATTCGCAGTCATGATGTCGGGGTCGATGTCTCCCAACCATTTGGCAAGCAGGATTCTGCTGGGCGTTCCCTGTGGGTGGCGGCTCATCTCATCACGAACCAGGTCCTCGGCCTCCTTGGTCCATCCGAAGATTGTACAGAGCATCTGCCGTCGGAGATCGTCGTTTGTCAAGCGGCTGTTGTCGACCATGGGAGGCCTCTTGTATGGGACATCGCTGAGACGGGTTCTCGTAAATTTGAACAGGTCCACGACCCTAGAATCCTCAGGACTTCGCGGGATCTCGTGTCTCAGACGAGACGGCCTGTGTCGGGATCGGCTTGTGGACGATCCCATGGAGACAGAACTCAGGCTACTGGTGGACATTGACGAGCTTTCCCGCTTGGGCTTCTCCTGTGGGAAGGTCGACGACCGGATTGAGGAGCCAGTGGAGATGTAAGTGTTGTCTGTCATTCCGCGAGATCGAAGCGACGCCTGATAACGTCCAGGAGTTCTTGAGCTGGTGGATGATACATCTGAAATGCCACTCGATGCCGGGCTTGCAGTACGATACTGATCCTCGTCCGAGGACTGGTGGAGGTTTCCAGCTCTGGCGATCCTGGCCATTGGCGGCGCAGCATCTTCATCGCTCTCGGATATATCTGCGCTGATTTGTATGGAGCCCATTTCCGATTCGGACGCAGTGCTTGCTCCCTTTTCTTGCTCCTCGATCGACACTGGCGGAGATGGAGGTAGCAAATTAGCAGGATGCTGAACGTTAGCCACCATCATCGCGGGAGCGTTGAGGTCGAACTGTTGCACGGTGTTGTTGGCGGCGATTGTGAACAAGCTCGCTCCTGGCCCGTAGACGGCGAGTCCCTTGGTGTGTTCCAAAGTAGGGATCTTGTCAAATGTCACATGCTTGGTCCGTACATCCCAAGACAGGGTTTCGCTTCAAATTCATCCAAGTCAGCATGTGGCTCAGTCGAAAAGGTTAGCCGTCAAAACTTCGCTGGGCTGACTTACGATTCGCTGTGTTGAATAATTCTTCCATTTTTGGACCAACCCATCCAGTTAGGACCAGCCAGGCAGTTCTCCGATTTTTTGAGGATGCGTACGACCTTTGCTGGGTCCGCACTGTTGTAAGCTTTGGATACGCTCCAGACCCTCAGATCACCATCGTTTGTCTGGACAGCCAGCATATCCGACTTTTGCCGTGAGGAAGAGGCATGCCAACTCAGTGAAATGATGGGAGATGGCGCTCTTGACGTGGTCAAGTTGTGCAAAATTGTGAATCTTGGCTGAAGTGTCGCGATCAGCAACGAGCCATTTTGATATCTGTTTCACAGTCAGCTTGAGTACTCTCTACAGGGGACATATTCGTAGAACACCAACCCTATCGCAAAGGTTCGGCAGTCGGCTGACGGTGCCAGCGCTGTCACTGCTATTTGATCAATGGTCCGGGCCGAAATGTGCTCTGATGTCGTCGGCTCAAAAAGGATAATATTTCCCTGCGTGTTGCCTGTTGCTTTTTGTTAACCAAGCTCAGGGAACACGAAAACCATGTTTCAGGGCCAGGACTTACCGAACGCAACATTGCCATTCCTCATCCAGGCGGCCACGGTCAGGTGCTCATACGAGGCAAAGCGTGCGACCTCTTCACCAGACATTATGTCCCACACTATCGCGGTCTGCCCTGCGTCGTAGCTGACCACTAGCCTCCCTGCCCCCAACTCACTTTGGTTGTCGACTGCCAGGATCTGCACCTCGTCGTCATGGCGGGAGAACCTCCTCTCGATGGTGAGGGTGTCATGGTGGCAGCAGACTACCGAATTACCTTGGGCATAGAGAAACATGGAGGCTGTGGCCGCAGTCGGGTCGAAGTACCGCAGTATTGCGGTTGGCGACATTTTGAAATCATCCATTGCCGTCCCTTTACTCCTCGAAGACAGGGGAGTCGAGGTCGAGCGGCCTCTGGACGGCCTGGCTGAAGTGGCCATGCCAGACATGATATGCTTCGTTCGCGGCCTTTTGTGTAGCAGAGGGTTAGTCGGGATGTTGCATCAATGAGGAAAGGCGTCCCACCCTCGGGGTAGGTTTGCACTTAACCCGAGTTTCTCGAAGACCTCACGAAAAAACGGGGCGCACAAAAGATGTCTCACATACCAGCGGTAGGGTGAAAACCCCTCCGAGAAAGCGTCGCAACGAACTAAAGTCGGGCGGTGAGGCTACACAATTTGACCTGGGCTCATCACATGGAACACCCAGCTGCCCGTTCCCGGACGAGTCCGTCCTCCACGTTCGTTGTCTCAGATATGCCGAAAACCCACCCCAGTCTGTTGTATGCGGTGAGGACCTTGGTAGGAAAAGGGCGGCTGCCGTGCCTGGGAATACTTGTGTTGCGTGGGCAGCGCGTGCGCTTTGTTTCTTTTTTCTCTTTTTTTTTTCTTTTCTGTTTTTCTTCTTTCCCTTGCTGGTGGATGCCGATCACGGGATGTACTGGTAGAGAAGAACGAGGGGAAGGAGGAAATTAAGTGACGAGGTGTGAAGGGGATGTGAGGTAATGCCAGGTACGTCAAGCCTCAGGTTGCACGGCTTAGATGGTGGACGTCCGTTAGACGCAGGAGATATGTATGTGAGCGGCAATAACACTCTGGTAATAGGTTACCCGCCTCGTGGGCGGAGCGGCAGGATTCAGGGTGTGCCGGATATCTCGAGCGTCGGGCGCTTGTTCTCGCAACGGTCCTATTCTGCTCTCGCCGATGAGGAGGTGACGTCCCATCAGAGTCTTGAGCAGAAAGAAGGTACGGGTTGCAGAAAGTGCAAAAAGCATGCGGAGGAGAGAGAAAATGCATCAAGAACAGCCGGAGGTGTGGGATGGGGGTGTGGGATGGCAATAAGTCGAGAGTTCAGCGCCTAGAGCGACAAGGCCTGGCCTGTCAATGGACGATCCGGGAAGGCATATAAAATTAGAGCCCTGGTGGTCCATGGGAGAACTAGCGTATAGAGAAGCGATTGTGAATCTCGAGCGGGTACGGACCGGCTCATCTGAGGGTCTAGCTCTGCATGTCGACGGAGAACCTAGGCACACTGCAAGGATAGCGATGAACCTATGAGGGCGCTGCGGACGGCAAGGTCAGGAAGTCATAGCTCGCCGAGGGCAGGTGTGCAGGCATGAAAGAGGGAAAAGCCGGTGACTCTGGCCATGGGAGACGCAGTAGCTCTCATCCTGGTTGGCCGGGTGTATAGGGTACATGAGAATATGCCATAATTAGCCTCCACTTGTGCGGTATCCTCGCTGGCAATGCCAGCCTATTGCTGTCACCTGGACTGCAGGGCACATGAGATGATCGTCCCCACGGCCAATTGGGCAGGAAGGCCGTCTGCCCAAAGCCACGATACAACTTGAGTCGTGAGCCAGTTGCTTGCCTGCTCCGGGCGTGCTGGCCCGGACCGTCTGGAGGCCTGACGGGACATGTTTGGAGGTGAGCAAAGGACGGACGATGGCCGCAGGCGCCGTGCAGAGCGTGTCCTGGGTACTCATGGCATGTATTGCGGGTCCCCCATGTACAGCAGCAGGAAAGGCAGTCCATGTGCGTGCTTGGATAGTCGCGTTGTACAGTGCATCTGGCCGTTCGTACCTGACATGGATTGCTCCAGGTTCAACCTCCCAGATACCGCTTCCAGCCAGCCAGCCATCCAGCCATCCAGCCATGACGGGTGTCACAGATGCTTGGATGGAGCCATGGGAAAAGAGGGAGGAGGGGGACGGGGGTTGGGAGGGGGGCAGGCATCCACTGTGCTTGCGCCGTTCATGGTGAGGGAGGGACGGCTGGTATTGTGCTGCTGCTGCATGTACTATGGTAGACTGGATATCATCATCATATCATGTGAGATGAGGCCAGCACGTCGCCTCACTTTTTTGTCGGCGGTTTTGCAGGCCTGCTGGGGGACTGATAAAGCGATGGTGGAATTTTGGTTGAGCACGCTAGGTCTCATCAACAGGCCTCGCTTCGCCCCAAAGCACGTTGTCTATCTGTCGAGGGCACGTTGCTTGCCTCGCAGGGACAGACAAGACAGAGACATTGTGAGCACAGAGACAGAGTACATGATACACACACACACACACAGAGAGAAGTGCGGGGACGGGGCGGCCCCAGGTCCCAAATGAAGAGCGCATGGTGGCATGTTGGCATGCTGGGGCCATGTATACCCGCATGCACAGGCGGGCAGACATGCAGGCGGTAGAGCGAACGAAGGGCTTTCTGGCCGTCTGGATGCAACCAGATGATGGGCGTGGAGGGCCCAGAAAGGGTTGAGGTCGAGGTTCGCAAGCTCAATGGCCGGGAATTAAGCGCCGACTGGCGTTCCGGCCCCGCTGGTGAGCATCTTGTTTGCAGGGAGGTGGGGACGGGACGCCAATCACGGCGCAGGGCCGCCGTTCTCATCACTTTGACATGGGTCCTGCAGCGCCTGCAGCCGCAGGGATTTCCTGGCTCCCTCATCTCCCTTTGGGTGCTTGCTGGGTGCTGGGTGCTTGCTGCCCTCGACCCTGCCCTCGACCCTGCCCTCGACCCTGCCCTATCAATCAATGAAGCAGTCAATCGACAAGGCCATTCGTTCATTGTTCGCTCGTTTGTCCCATTCATTCACGAGTGCACACTCTCACTCTCACTCACAATCCCTCCTCTAATCAGAGTCACTCCGTCACTCCAGTCAAATCACTCAATCAATCAACTCGTACGCCCATTGTCTGCCTGCCCTGCCTGACATGTCACGACTCGATCACTCGCTCCTCTCCCGTCCTCCCCGGTCCTCTCCCCCAGTCGCAGTCGCAGTCCCAGTCGCTCGCTTCCTTCCTCTCTCTTGTCACACTGTCGCCCCTCCGTTCCTTGCCGAACCTCGGACCTGATTGATCGGCATCGAACCTCGAATTGACACAATGCCAATAAACAGTGTCAATGCCTATGCCTATGCCTGCGTCCACGCTGTCTCATAATCATGTGCTCAGCGCCACAAGAGGTCCCTACTCCGATCCTGGCCCCGTGACCAACATCGAGCCTCCCGCGCGGCACCATGCTGACCTGACCGTTGATCATCGTCATCGTCATCGTCAACGGCTCCAGCTTCAGCCTCGGTTCTAACTTCAGCTCCAGCTCCAGCTTCAGCTTCACCGTCAGCTTCACCGTTGATCGTTGCTATCACTAGTCGATCGGCGCCACTCGCGGTCAAGGGCCAACAACTGCCACGGCTTCTTCCACTGTGTATCAACAGGGTCATGATATCTCACGTCTATCGGGCGGCTATCCTGCCCCCGGCCCACTGACTGGCACAGGGTGGCCCTGTCACCGCAGATGCGGAACCACTCGTTGATCGCTCATAGATCCTTTGCTGCCGCTTCCTATGGCACAGAATATATTGCATTTCGTGGGGTGTCCGCTCCTCCCGCACGGCTTCTGCTCCGTCAGTCCGTACAGCGAACAAACACGGCAGACACTGCCTCACACCCGAGATGCCCTCGCGCGCTGTCTGCATGTCTCGCTATTCAGCCCCAGCTTCAGCTTTCCAACTCTACAGAAATAGAAAATCCACCACCACCTGCCTGATACCGCGGTTGCCACGGTGTCTCTGCATGCATTCAACTGCATGCAACAGCATTGCATTCAACTGCATTCAAGAATCTTGACAAAGCCACAAGGTGGCCAGGGGCGAGCCGTGACATCCCAGCCTATGGGGACAGCTTCGCTGCCGGCCCTGAACACACAGACTCGCTTTTGTCAGCTTGATTTAGATTGATACGCACACTTCGCCCTGCCATGCAACCACACAACACGACATCATTGCCGTTTTGGACGAGAGACAGCCACAGGGCCTCAGAGGGTGATGCCCAAACTGGGACCCTGTGCCTGGTGTGATAAAACAGCCGAGCTGTTTCTGTTTATGCAACGATAGACAGCCACTTGAAGCTAATAACCACCCATCCCGTCGTCGTCTTCGTCTTGCTACCCCTGGTTCCACCCTCCGGTACCTTCGCCGGCGCCGGCTGCTCACCCGTTGGCCGCTAGCTCCCGGCACCGATCCAAGCTTCAAAGCTGTCTCGCTGCTGCCATTCGTCCTCGCCGTGGACGCTCCAGGGCGCTATTATCTCGGGGCAGAAATCCGAACATCGCGGGCTGCGCCGTCTCCTGGGTCTCGTCTCAACTCTATCAACCGCACCCGCCTACCCTGCCAATTGACTTTCCACGGCCCGCTTCTAGCTCACCATCTCATGCAGTATTTCTCAAGACACGTTAGTGCGTGCGTGCCCATGCACGGTATCTCTGTCCCGGTCCAGCATCCTGGTCGGCAGACCGATGCTGATCAAAGCAAGCCTCTGCCCTCCATCTCGCTACGCAGTGCATGGCAGAGTACGCACGCATGGGCCCTGAAGCCACAGCGAGCTGATGGGGGTGGGAATACTCTATTTTCCTCTCGTACCTTGAACATGCTCATGCATTGCTACCCTGCTCGGCTTGTCCTGCAGAACTCGGGGCCGCTAGCACGGTACCCCGCGGCCGCCAGGTGAGGTTGTTCTCAAAACTACAGCACTTTGTTACCCAAGTTGCATCGCTAGAGGATGCCACACGCACCAAAACCGTTAAGCCAGCATGCTGTCGTTGTATCAAGAGCCCACCCAGTTGAGTGACCCAGCCCTAGGCTTGGGAGACCCGGCTCGTCGTCTTGCTTTCATTGAGAATTTCTAGGCGACCCAGCTAGTCCACACAATATGGTCACCGCAACCTGTTGCCCTCCCTCACGGCCCGGGTCAAATCAAGCTGGTGGTGGCACAACTTACAGTGCTTACATGGTCATCAGTCGGTCAGTAGACTGCCAGGACAACCACGTTTGGTCTAAACTTCATTGGGTCCAC